CTTTCTTAGGTTGAGGAGGTAGGGTCTCATTCCTAGCATTCCCAGCAACATCCTCCATGCCCAAGCTAGACATTCTTACTCTTTTGAACACTTTAGCTAGCGGCAAGCTTACTCACACTTTGATAAAACTCGACTTCGATACCACTTGTCACGGACTTGGCCTTTCCCAAGTTCACGTGCGGCACTTGGCTCTCTTCTTCTCTAAGACAAACCAAGTCAGCCTTTCTCACACAAAGTTGCTAAGCAAGAAAGACACACACAAGAGATATAAATACTCTTTGTATTGCTTTCTAAAAGCTTACAACTCTAAAGACACACTCTCTTAAGTTTATGAATGTCTAGGTGCCTTGGCCAAGTGAGAGCCTCATCTATTTATAGCCTTGCACCTCCTCAATGGATGGCTAGGATCTATTTAATCTAATGGTTATAATTGGTTCTCTAGAAATATCTTATCTAGATATTTACAAGGAACTATCTATATATACACATGCTAGATTAGTGAGGGACTCTCTAGAATTCTCTAGATCATCTTAGAGACTTCTCCAATGCTTCATATTCTTCTGAAGCTTCCAGCCTTATCTAGAGGCTTCTCCTTTACTCCATACTCTTCAGAAGCTTCCGGACTTATCTAGAGGCTTCTCCATTGTTCCATACTCTTCCGAAGCTTCTAGACTTATCTAGAGGCTTCTCCATTGTTCCATACTCTTCTAGAAGCTTCTAGACTTATCTAATGTTCTTTAGAATCTCTAGAAAAATCCTTCTTTTAGGCGAAGCGTAACAATATGGTCATAACATGTGTATTTGATGGTAGAAACTAATTGACATGAATGGATAAAAAGTTTATAGTATGTCAATTGAGTTACATCAAGGGTTAATTTGAACATCTTATAATGTCTTATTTTGGATATTATAATTTTCTAATTAGAACTTGATATGTTTTACTAGTTAACTATGTTACTTGTCAACTGGCTAATAGGAGAATGAAAGAAAGGAACATGAGAGTATCTTATCAATCCTATTTGTTGACAGCCCATTATAATTTTAAATAGTGAATGATTGAAAAAATATCACGTATCATAATTTACTATATTACTAAAATAATAATAACGAAATGCTTCGAAACTATTACATGAGAATCGTTATTCAAAACTATGTAGTCAATAGTATATGGTTTTTTTTTTCTTTTTTTCTTTTTTGGTGTATACAATATTATGCGGGTTAAGCAATTAATTAGCCGCAGAACTAAACGTCACTGTTTAATAATAACAATAAAAAAATGTCATTATACTTGGTTGCTTAGCAGTTCTTTCATTTATATCGTTCCCTCTACAGTATTGTGCAATTAATTCTTTGTGCTTATATTCATCTTTTCTACTGCAACAATGAAGAATATTATTGCGTGACGGAAGCTTTAATTTATAAGCCCACAACCCTACCTGGTGGCTTTAATGCTAACGCAATGAATCTCACCCCGGAATGGTTTTGATGGGGCAAGACGTTAAGGTGGTTTTGATTTTTCGTTGTTGTATATCCTATAATCTTAAACATATAGCAATTGCATCCTTGGCATTTTAGAATTTAGACAAAGTTAGCTTCTCTCTAATTTTACAAACATTATTATTTTTATTAAAAATCAAAATTCTGACGCTAAAAAGCATACATGGCACGTATTAATTAGTTGAGAAATTCAATTGTTGACCCTATTTGACAGTTGACTATTACTGTAATGAAAATTGATAACAAAATTAGATGAAGGAATTAGTTCTATCATAAAATCGAAAATATCAGTTATCCAAATATACATCATTTTTAAAGACCACAAGATTCAATGCGATGGAAATCGAAATAATTACAAGGATATTATGATCTGCATTAAATCACATCGGGACTGTGGACATATTATCAGGTATCATCAACTAGCTCAATGAGCTCATACAAGTCTCATGGGGAGCTTATGAGGTAGGAGTAATTGAAAAGCTTGTTGCTGTTTTTAAAACCTAACATGGTGCAACCCGTGGTCTGAAATTTGAAGATGCATGAAGGCAGTTAGAAAAATCAATACTCAGGCAAGCTCAGATTCTTTCACTGTGTCTTAATCTTCCAATATGTTCTGGATTGAAACTCTTCAGGATTTGCTTTATAGATAGGGCATTCGATGTTAGGCAGCATGATAGCAAGATTCAGATTCCAACTTACGGTGAAAAAAAAAATTTCCTTGCAACTATATATGCTTTTTTAGACCCTCAATTAGTCGAATATTAAACCAACTTTGGAATCCTATAAAGAGCTAGTTCCATGCTATTTGCAGAGTTTCTACAATTTGGGTGCTAGAAAGATTCTCGTGGCAAATGTATTTCCAATTGGGTGTATACCATATCAGAGAGATAAATCCAGCTGCAGGAGAATGTTGTAGTTGTACCAATCAGCTAGCCCAGTTATATAACACAGAGTTAAGAAACTTATCACCGAACTTAGAGATAATTTGGAGGGATCGAATTTCGTTTATGCAGACGTTTATGGCATTGTTGATGACATCCTGCAAAATTATAGATCATATAGTCTGACATCTGGATCTTTCTTGGATGAGTACATAGTTTGTATTTGTGTTCTATTTCTGAAATAAGATTTGCAATTTGTGTTTGCAGGTTTTGAGAATGCAAATACATCATGCTGCAATGCAGCCGGGCACTTTGGTGGTCTGATACCATGCGGTCCTTCATCAAGAGTTTGCTTCGACAGGTCCAAGCACGTTTTCTGGGATCCATGCCATCGATCCTTCCGATGCTGCTAATGTGATCATAGCGAAACGGCTATTAGATGGTGACTCCAATGACATTTCACCGCTGAACATTCGTCAGCTTGCTACAATTTGAATCCAGTCAAATGAGAGCAATTAACCCTCTTTGAGACATAGATTTAAATAGCTATTGTAATTATAATAACGGTAACATCTTGTAGTAATGGATACAGATTTTAACGGCTAAAAATATAATAGTCGTGACTATTATTATTGTGAATCATTTAGCAATCCATAATAAGTTTCCATAATATATGTTAATTTGATAATTTTATTAAATAAACATAATAATAATAGTTTTTTAGTTATTTATATATACCCGTATAATTCAATGATAATTGTATTATTAAAAATTAAATTTTAATTTAACCTAAGTTTCAATTATTATTCATAAAATATTATAATAAAATTATAATTTAGTTATTAATTGCTAGAATGGAAGAGAAATTGACTCATAAGTTTTCTGTGTATGCAATAAAAAAAACATTATTAATTTTTTAAATTGTAGAATGTAATAGAAACTACAAAAGAAAAATTCCAAAACCAGGCCCAATATCACTTAAAAAATATATAAAAGAGGAAAGTGCAACTAAAAGTGTATAAAAAAATTAGGTAAAAAAAAAATGTATCACTAAGACCATTTAAATGTGTGGACCTGGATACAAAATATAGGCTCAACATATTAGTTTTGTAAGTTAGTAAAAGTCAAATAAGAAATTCATCTAAACCTAAAACAATTTGGGATAATTACTAGAAAAACCTTATAAAAAAATCTTCTATCTAAAAAACTCACAAATTTATTTTTAAATCTCTCAAATCCAAAATAATCTTTTTCGTACCAAAAACACCCAATAATTAACACTAGTGTTAATTATTGGTTGTTTTGGTAAGAAAAATATTGTTTTAAGCTTGTGAGATTTAAAAATATTATTTTGTGTTTGAGAGATTTAAAAATAAAATAGCAAATTTTTTAGATTGAAGATTTTTTAGAAGGTATTTTGGTAATTATCCCTAGTTTAAATGAAACCATTATCTTTCAAGATATGTATTTCTATCATGGATGATCATGTTTTATTTAATTAATGCACTAAAATATGTTATATATTCATCTTGTAATTTAATTTAATTGTTTGATAACAAATGTTGAGTTTTAATTAATTAAAAACTAGTATTACCAATGATTTTTTATTTATTGATATATTAGGATTTAAGAAATCACTAATGTTCATAATCATATATATTTTATTTTTCTTATTTGTATGATAACACTTTGATTAAATTATAAAAGAATGACAAGAGTCTTATTTCATTAACATTAATTAGTTAAATTGTCTTGGTTGCTATAATTACTAGATAGTAAAATTAGTCTCGTAATTAATGAAACAAACGGTCAATAAAAAAAACTCTAATATAAGAAATTTTTTAGTATAATAAAAAAACAAAGTACTCGAATGTTAGTGTTTAAAAGTTAAGAAACATCAAAAACTTTTTTTTTCCATTCGAATGCAATAAAAAAGAACTTGACTTAATCATGAAAAAAAATATCAAACTCATTAAAAACTATGAAATGAGTTTATTATTAGATAAAAAAAAAAAAACACTTTCAAAATTCTATCTAAAAAATTCATCAATTTATTTTTTAAATTTCTCAAACCTAAAAATAAAAAAATTTTCTTACCAAAAGATTCAATAGTTAACTAGTGTTAAGTTAGAGGTTATCTATTGAGTGTTTTGATAAGAAAAATATTATTTTGAGCTTGAGAGATTTAAGACTAAATTAATGGATTTTTTGGATATAAGATTTTTTTAGAGAATTTTTGTGATAATTATCCCAAACAATTTTTCTACCCTTCCATTTCTGTCTCCTCTTCTTCTTTATACCCGTCTTTCTCTTTTATATCTACAGCACTAGTTCTTCTCCGTCCTTTTTTTTTTTTTTTTTCCTTCCTTTATATGTTAAAAACAACATCTTTTTATTCTTTTTATCTTCTTTCCTTGAAAATCGATTCTCCCTCCCAAATTCTTTCTTTATGTTTCATTAAATCTAATTGAAGATTGAAACACCAATTCAATCATCAATGGAAGATAACGGTGTTTTTCCTTCTTGAAAATGAATATAACTGGCCGTTAATATTATATAATTATATAAGATCAGTTATAGATATGAATTTTTAATATTTCATTATAACGTGGAAAAACAATAATGGCTACTGCCGATTCTGCTGTGTAATAACTATGCTTTCAGACAGAAGTTTACCTAGAAATCTTACTTTTGGATTTATAAATTATTGTAATGGATAATAGAAAATATTCGTATATATACCTTCCATATAGAAGAGGAAATAGTTTCTTGTTAGAAATTAGGATGGCCTCAAAGTTTAGACTTTTCAACATTCTTCTCTGTTCACTTTGTGAATCAAAGTGACATGTCTTTCTGCTGATTTTTAAAACATGAAACGAAAAAAAGAAAAAGAAAAAGGTTCACTTGCCTATTCTTGAGTTTGACTAGATGGGTATGTGAACAAGTTCAAAGCTCATCATAACTCATTTGAGGGCATATATATATATATATATATATATATATATATATATATAGCTTGAGCTACCACTATCTTATATATATAACTCACACCTTCCTATGCAAAATAATTTCTCATCATGTCTTTATAACGACTCCTTATCTCTCTTATTTCTACTGGATGGAACAACAGAGAATTCAATATGTTTTTGCTGCATGTACATATACTGCTGGCACCAATTAATCCTCTGTCAAGGGCAATTCTGCAAGCCCATCTATTTGGCCTGTAGTTCGCAGTAGTAGTGGGTACTCTCTCCTTAAGAGTGAAGAACGATTCAAGAAGAACCAATCCATGTAACCATTAACCAACCTCACCAGAGCAGTATACTAGTGAGTAGTGACCAGTGAGAGTTCATTTCATGCTTGGTATTTCTGATAAACGGAATTGATGCTTCAAATTATGAGTAACAAGCCCATGACGCAGCGTCACAATAACAACAAAAGGAGCCCAAACAGGCCCAATTATAAGAATTCCAATTCCAGGTTCCAACACCCACTTCTGTGTTTGCATTTCAACTTCAATCAAGAAGACAAGGAAGATCTGAGTCATTAAATATTCCTTCAGTAAATGCTTTAGATTCACACAGATAAGGTAGCGCTATAAAAGAACGCAACAAGCATCATCGAGAAACGGAAGTGTATTCATGTTCTTTTGACTAACACAACGTGACATATCGAATCAGAGAGTCATTGACTCAGGCATCACTGTCAGAAATTTTATAATATATAAAAAATAACTAATTACATTATATGATTATGAGAAATTTTATAATATATAAAAAATAACTAATTATATGTATAATAATTATTTCATAAATTTATTTTAAAGAAATAGACATATAAATTAAATTATATTTAAATTCATAAAAAGTGATAAGAAGATATTTACGTTTATTCAAAACCCTTCTACGTACGATAAATTTGAAAATAATATTATGTCATAATACACAAGGAGTAACTGAGTAACTAATAACATGTATAGTAATTACTTTATATACTTATTTTGAAAAAAAAGATAGACACAAAAAAGAGAAAATTAAAAAAAAAATTTGAGCTAATGTGTAAATCTTCTTGTCATTTTTTTGTGGGTTCAGATATAATTTAATATGTCTAACTCTTTTCTCAAAATGGATCCATAAAATAATTACTATACATATTACTAATTATTCATTATGTATTGTGGCATAATATTATTTTCAGGTTTGTTGTGCGTATAAGGATAAACTAATATCAAATGCTTTTGTCTTATAAATCAACCATGGAAAATAATGCAGACTGGCATGGAGCCAAATTCAATGAAGAGAAATGTTAGTGATGAACGCGAGTTCAAGGTGCGAAAGCTAAATTTTAATCATGCATGTAAAAACAAGTAAGCAATGAGTGTACGTATGGATCTAACAACTCCTGTATCTAGTGAACGGATGAATTTTGATATTGCCGCACTCAAGTTTGTCAATAATGTTTTTCCTCATTAAAATTATAAAATAAAAAATTCCAAGCTTGCTTGAAGAAGAGAACAACTAACATTAATCCATCCGTTTGTTTTGCTTTTATATTGATTCACTTCGAAAATATTATTGTACACAAATTATTAATTTATTTGTTTTACTAGTACATATATTAAATCTCAAGTTTTTTTTTTTAAATAAGTTTTAGAGATATTTTTTTCTTAGAAATTCTGGCATTTTTTTTATTCGAGTGCCACGTAAGATTATATTAAATCTCAAACTTTTGATAAGTTTTAAGTATTTATCTTTCTTTTTTTCCTAAACCTTTGAAGATTTATCTCGATTTGAGTGTTTCACATATGAGTAGTTTTTCAGTTGATAATGTCAAGATTAATAACAAATTAGTATTTGATAAAAAAATCAAATTAATTTTACAATTAAGTGTTATTATTGAATACAAATTAACTCCTATAATAATGATAATTCTACTAAATAGTTATCTATTTGGAATCTATTTAATAAAAACCTATATATATATATATATATATATATATATATATATATATATATATATGCTTATGACTCTCATTTCTTCGATAGCAGGTATGCTTTCTCTTTCATCCTACCTGCTATCTCTTGTGTTTTAAATAAAATTTGTAAAATAAATAAATAAATAAGAGGCTGAAAGAGAAAGCATACCTGCTTTCTCTTTCAGCCTCTTATTTATTTATTTATTTTATAAATATAATTTAAAACACAATTTAAGTGCAATGTTTTGTAATTTTTAATTTGAGAATTCATATACATTCATTTTTAATTAAAAGCAATATACATTGTTTTATTCCTTTTTAATTACACATATACAGTGGTTTGTTAAATTAAATCTATAATTTTAAATAACTTATTTGTTTTAATAAACCATAACAATGCATGAGTAATAGACTAGTTTATATCTAAAATCCTAACTTTGACGGCGTTCATTTTACAAAATTAAACTATATATTTGCTATTATTTTTTAAGTAATTATTCAAAATGATTTTTTTTAAAAAAATAATTATCTAAAACTAAAGTATCTCTTGTGCCCGCTATAACATTGAAATAATTACAACCAATTACGAAATATATCGAGTTATATATATGTATATTGACAACTTTATAGCTTGTGGTACACTTCTTGCCAATTTATCCAGTTAAATCAAACATTTTACCATTTTACTATAGTAGTTGATTCACGCTATAACTTTATATTATGGGGTAAATCTTAAAACTCGTCTCCAATTATATAGATAGTGACAATTTTGTTTCCAAACAAATTTGCGTATCAATTTTCTCTCTTAAATTTGATAAATTTTCAATTTTCATTCATATTTGGATATGAATATCTTTTCTTTTCTTTTTTTGTAATAAAAGATATCATTATAGAAAACTTAACATTTTGTTTCAAAAATCGATACAAAAATTTGTTTAAAAGCAAAATAGTAATGGGACAATTTTTAAGGTTTGTCCTGTATGATCTCCCTGAACCGTATATTCAAAAGGTCGAATGCATCTGTGACAATACCGTAAAAGGAAACAATTTGGCACTATGCATGGTTATACGTTATAACACGTCTCAAGGCAATGTCAGCACGTTGATCCTATCCAAAGTCCAAATCCCCATAAATCAGTTGCTGTCACCGTCAGACCAACGTTACCCGTAGGCTATTTCTTACGCGCAAACCGATAGAACACCCAAACAAACAAGGCAACCTTCATAAAACTGTCGATCGATCGATCGATCGATCAAACCACCAAAAAAACAAGGTAACCTTCACTTTTCTGGCTTGAAAATGGATCTAACCCCAACCGAAAACCTCATCCTGGTCACTCGAGACCAAAAGGGCATCGCGACGATCACGATAAACCGACCCAAATCGCTGAACTCCTTGACGAGGCCTATGATGATGCGCTTAGCCCGTCAAATCAATGCCTTGGGTAAAGATGAGTCAGTTCTGGTCATCGTTTTAACCGGGTCGGGTCGCGCTTTTTGTTCGGGTGTGGATCTTACTGCTGCAGAGGAGGTGTTTAAAGGGGACGTGAAGGATGTGGAGACTGACCCGGTTGCCCAAATGGAGCTGTGCAAAAAGCCCATTATTGGAGCTATTAATGGGTTTGCAGTTACGGCCGGGTTTGAAATTTCACTTGCTTGTGATATTTTGATCGCTGCTAAAGGAGCTAAGTTTATGGATACTCATTCAAGGTATGTTGTATTTTATACGTGGTTAAAGTTGTGTATCTTTTTTAGTTTCATAACTAGCATATATCTTTCGTGTTGTCACGGGATAAGTTATATAACATTTTTATATATTCATTAAAATAAAATTTAATATTTATAAATCATTATTTGATAATATAATGTGAACATTATTCTAAAAAAACTAAAACATATATTTCATAATTTGCTACAAGGTTAGCTAAATGAAAAATCAGTAAAGTTAAGTAATATAATATTGTTAATTAAATATTGTTTAATATAAATATGTATTTTATTAATAGCTAATAATTAAAATAATAATGTGATAGTTTTTTGAATTTTCGATGATTAATTTTTACGATATATTATTCATCCGTAATTTGTTAATGACACGAAGAGACCACTCAAAACAAAAAAACAAAAAAAGCTCGTCAAATCGAGAATTTAACAAAGAAAATAAAGATAAAATTACACACGATAAAAATTAAATGATTAAAACAAAGTAAAGATTATAAAAATAATAAAAATAAATAAATAAAACTTTCACTAAAAGCATACAAAAAATACTTATAAATAATAAGACTAAAAAAATTTCATTATACATAAGGTAGGAACAAAAGTAAATATTATAGAATTTTAATGACTAGAATAAAAAATAATAATAAAATAAGAATCAAAACAGAAAATTTTTCACAAAAAAAAAAAAAAACTTAGCATAGTTAAAATGTATTTAATTTTAATGTAAATTGAATAGTATTTAACTATAATAAAAGTTTAATGATCAAAATAAATAAAAGATCATAAAAAAAAAACCAAAATATAATGAAAAGTTTTATTAAAAGTAAAAAATAATTCCTTGTAGGAAAAAAAATTAATGATCAAAATAAAAAACAATTACAAAACGAAAACTGAAAAAAAATTCTACTAAATTTAATGACGAAAAGTAAAAAAATAATAAAACGAAATTAGAATAGAAAGAAAATTTCGGTTAAAAAAACAACCTTAGGATAGTAAACTTTTTTTAGTTTTAGTATAGTAAGAATAAAAATTAAATATGAGAAAATTTTAATAGCTAAGATAAAAACATATAAAAAAATAAAAACAAAAAAAAACATAAATTTTTACTCAAAATTAAAAAAAAAATTGATTATAAGGATAAAAATCACATATAATAAATTTTAATATTTTTGATAGGGATAAAAATCAAAGATCAAAAAAGTTTACTCGACCAAAAAAAAAAAAGAAAGAAAGAAGGGATCAAAATAAAAAACAATTTCCTAAGCTAAAACGGAAGGAAAAAAAAATAAGAAAAGAAAAAAAAAACAATCGAGCCGGTGCGTCGAGCTTGGTCGAGCGACTCGAGCTCGCGCATCAAGCCTCGGTTTGCTGTAAAAACAAAAAAAAGGGGTTGCAACTTTTGGCGAATCGAGGTCGTCGAAATCTTCGTCGGAAAGTCGCGAATCAAGTTTCGGACCTCCTAGAAATTGAATTCTAGTATCATTTTTTTCTCAAAACACCTCTAAATGACCGAAATAAAGCCAATAAACATATCTAAAACCTTAAAAATCATTTTAATGTACTAAAAAAAAATAAAAAATTTACACAATCGAATCGGAACATTATTTCCTTTTTTGGCTTCGATCTACCTCCTTTAATTGTTTCATGACTTGAAACAACCATGGACAAACTCATCTCTCAAAGATAAAGAAATCTAGTGAATTTTCGCCGATCAAAGTGGCCTAAATAAGCTTGGCGGGCGATCTTTCTCTCTCCTCCTGTCTCTCTTTCCCTTCCTTCTCTCTCATCCAGGAGCCAAAATAAATGAGCAAATGAAAATGTAGATCGAAAGATTCATTGGCAAAGATCGGGGTCCAATGTGTAAAAAATCAATAAATAGTGAAATATTAGTATATGAACAGTATTTGAAACAATAACCTATCGTTTTGTTTTAGTTTATTTAGTTAATCCGATGGATATGGTTTTAATATTCGGGTCCTTTTTTTTTTTTTTTTGGTATATGCTTAGCTTGAAGGTGCCATAATTGAATGTTTTTAGGGATATAAGTAGGAGTATTAACGTTTTCAATGGAATTTGTGATTGAATTCATTTATAATGTGGTATAATATGGATTGCAATTCTTGTTTGACATGGAAAGGCTCATATGACCTTGGACTACACCCTTTGATCTTAATCTCTTATGAGTGACTTAGGTTTCATCCTATATTAATTGGTAGTTACCATATACCTCGGTTAGGTCGCTTAGCTCGTCGATTCATTTATTTACCGTAGTCGTCGACGTTGGAGTGTTTTTTTTTTAAATATAAATTTTGATTTATTTATAATTTATCTTCTTCTTTCGGATAAAACATAATTTTCCATAAAAATAATGATTTTTATAAATGAAATGAACGAGAATTTGTATTTGTAAATGAATTCCCTTGTTTGAAACAAAAAAAAAATCATTAGCCAAATCATTCATTTGTAAATACATTTTATGTTTAGAACACATATAGAATTAGAATTGTAGTTTGTATTGTATTTTACTTAAATACCCTTTAGTTGATTGAAAGGTAATTGTGATATAATATAAAGACAAAGATAATATTTTCACAAATAATACAAGGATCTTAATGCTCATATAAGTCGAATATATCCCTTACATAAATATAATATCACAATGGTCGTCTATATCATATTACACGTCCAAAAATTATATCATTATATTGGCACAAATATTTGGCGACCTATGCAAGCAAAATATTTCAAAATATAACAAACATCCAATATTAAGAATTCAAGTTTAATCATCCATACTACTAACTATAACAAACAACCCATCATACTTTAAATCCATACCAATGCTAATTATAACTAACAACCTTCACTTTAATCATCCATACTAATTCCTATCTTCCTTTTAAGCCATGGTAGCTTGATTTCATCATCACATGCAAAGAACCTATCCACCAATGATCGATCATTCTCTCGTTAGGAAGTCAAGTGCATCTATCACTTACCACTTATCCAAACCCAATTTTTTCAACTCACTTGCAATTTTAGTAGCCGAGTAAACGCGATGACTTGTAGTCTTAACAACATTGGCGATTTCTTTCATTGAACAAGTAACTTCAACAATCTCATCGGTAATGTTACCACTCATGGGTTTTTTTCTTTTCCTTCCGGAAGTAGCCTTTGATTGGCTTGGAGTGGACAAAACGTTATCATGACCAATTGGTGAATCTTGAGCAATAGGTGAATGCTCTATTGGTGAGTGATGATAAGTGGTAGTAAAAGGATTGAATTGTTCAAGATAGACCTCATTAGTTGCTTGTATGTTATCTATGTCATCAATATTAATTTCTTACGATTGTGGGGGACTTTGTTACTCTTGTTGACACCTCTTCATTTTCTCCTTGGCACTCTCCGCACCACCTCCATTTTCTCGATCTTTCTCGAATAATTCACGAGCATCCTCAAGAAAATAAAGTTCTTTATCACGCATCAACTTATAATACGGCTTCACCTATAAAAGATGCAACAATATCAAGTATTTTATCCATCCACAAAAATCATTTTCAACTCACACTATTATTATTATGAACTTACCCGTATAACACCTTCTCACACACTTGGAGCAGCATTAAGCTTTTTTGTTACATCATTCCATCCAAATCCACTTTTGTCTAATAGTTCAACCGATAGGGTCATAAGTTTTTGGATAGTCTTCAATCTATTAACCGTTTTTGCCTTGTCAACTTTTTCGCCAATCTTCTTAAACTCTAAGGTAAGAGAATCGACAACCACCTTCTAAGCTTCTTTAGTAAATTGCTTCTCATCTTTGTTACCTTGGCTTTTTCATTTTTCAAACAATCAAGAAGAAGTTGATCATTTTCTCTTGGCCACCTAAGATACTTATCAATTGCTTCGACACCATTAACAATCTCAACATCATTTCCACTTGGTGTAGCCATCTCGCTCTTAACAAATATACGACATATAACAATAAATTTAAAACTCTTTAGTTTATTAAAAATAAATTAAAATAAAATTAGCAACTTTTTCGTCACATAATACATTTCAAGAATAAATGACATGACCTAGGCATTAGATGTATAATCACTCCACATATGGCCGACTATGCCATCTCTTAATTGCTCTCCTTTTCTAGCATCCGCAACTATCGACAATCGATCATTATCATTTATTGTAGATAAATTTTGCATTAACTCATTATCTACCTCCCGCAATATATCTTCGTCGAGGTCATATATAAGGAGAAAATTATATAAAATGCAACAAGCAATCATAATTTCTAAAATGGTATCAACGATGTAATTTGGCTCGTTCCATTAGCTATAATTGGAAATCTTTTTTTCAACACTCCAAAGGCCATTTCAATTGTATTGCACAATGATGCATGTTGAAGATTGGGCATTTTTTTTACATTCTCGAGCGGAGAACGAGAGTACTCTTTCAAATGGTATCATGTACCTCAATATGGAGTGATGTATCTTGATCTCCAAGGATACCCGACATCGGCTAGGTAAAATTTACCTACAATGTATAAACACAATTCATATGTGATTAATCACTTAATTTAATATTATTTATGTTTGTTGAACTAATTATGATGTAATTACCTTAGGGAACTCTCAACTTATCGTCCCTATTCATAGCATTTTCTAGAATTCTTCGATCCGATGCCGATCCTTCCCAACCAAGTAACACATAAGTAAATTTGAGGTCAAAATCACATGTTGTTAATATATTCATTATGGGTATTCCTTTTCTGCCTCTATATGCGTCCGCTTTTAAAACTTTGACACGAATATGTGTCCCATCAATAACACCAACACAATTCTAAAAATTTGGAAGGAATAATTAGCACTTTTAAGAATAAATAACACCAAGTAACAAATTGTGATTTTATAAGCCTAAGTTTGTAATACTACCTTAAAACAAGGATATAATCTTCCTTCACTATTCGGTATTTGTGGATGTATTGTGGATCCATCGAGTTGTACCAAAAACACATCTTTAAGTGAAATGATTGATCTAAGCACTTGGTGGAAATGACGACTTATTGTCACACCACTCCGACACCAAAAAAAGTTTGCCATGAAGTTCATACATTGCCGGATAAAATGTGCAAAAATCTTGCAACTTTTTCCTTAACACAACTATATTGTGTGTCCTTTAATAACCTTCGCTGTTTTAAAATGTAAACTAATGTTCTAAATGCATTAATGTTCATAAGTAATACGATACGAGAATTTTTATTTATTTCTAATTGCCTCATCAACTCTTGTCTAACATGATATCGATCATGATTAGTTTCTAATTGTGGCCTCTACACACTATTTTGATATAGCCAAAGTAAGACCACTAAATGCCCAATATATGCAACTAAAGTTGTTATTGCATTCCTTTGAAAGTTATTCATAATTTCGAATGTTAATACAACACAAAGAAAAAACAATGAGAAGTCCAAAACTGGAATATGTTATCAAACAATCAAGGAAATTAAAGGAAAAATTAACAATTCTGATTTCAACACAAAATCAAACAACCGAACATCAACGGTCTTAATTTAGATAAGTGAACTAATAGTTGTCGTTAATTACAAAGCTGATTACCACCATCAATATCTTAAAATTATTGGACAAAAATTACATGTTGTTTCATGCAGTACAAAGTGTAGTAACTCAATAGATTGTGACTAACTCAATTATTCCTCACTTTCGAGTCTATGTTTCTTTCTTTAAGATGTTACAAAAAAATAAGAAAAAATTATAAAAATTGATCAAAAGAACAATTTGTAAGCTAAACTAATAAAATAAATAAAAAGAAGATAGAAAATGTATAATGAGAAGAATTAACATCAAAATCAGTAAGTTAGAAAATATAACTTATACGAGTGTTTTTAAATATCAAGCCTTACAAAAACTAAGGACAATCCAGTTGGCTATTAATTCAAAAATCTACTTTTTTGCTTGACTTAATAGATCAAGTTTGCTTCTCATTCTTTTCCTACACTACATATTTTTATCTTTTTTTTTTAAAAAAAAAAAGAAATACTCGCTATGTTCATAGTTGTTTGGATTTATATTCGGTAATTATTTCTCTCACAAATGTTATCTATTAAATAGATAATTGTTCTAAAATTACAATTATTGAACTTTTTTCGAAATTCATTTCAAATATTATATGTAGGATTTTCGGATATTATCCCAACTGCAGATGCCTATTTCCTATAAACAAAAAATGAAGACATAAAATGTAAATGGAAATCTAGAACATCTAGAGTACCAAATACATAGATCGAAATGGATATAATCATACATACGGTTAATACAAGCACATTAATTCAAAGCAATTAGAAGAAAAATTACTACTCCTAGATAACGCCTCCCAAATGAAAAATTAATTCAAAGCAATTAGAGATAATGCCTCCTAGATGAAATTATTATACATAACTTCACACATTACTTTCGCAGTAATCAACAAGAAGAAACAACATGCAAACATCTCACACTAGATGAAATTAATGTCGGATGAAAGAAAGAAAAACTAGCTCACACAACCGGATGAAAGAAAGAAAAAAAAAAGAAGGAAAGTGAACAAAAATATAAGCAAACCTGGAAGATCAAGTGAGCGAGAGGAGTCGAGAGGAGGATGAGGAATTGGACAACAGCAAGGGAGGCGTAGCAAAGAGAAGAAATATGTGCAAGAGAGACAACTCACAGATTAAAAACGAACGAGCGGAAAGTTAGGATAGAGGGGATATTTGTCCAAATAAAAATATTTTTCAATTGGCATGGAATTCATCTGCAAATAACTCCTCTTGGGCAAGGAATAGGACAAAGCTATATCAATTCATTGATTTGGAATTCATTCATTTGCAATTTTTAAAATTGAAGCTTCCAAACAAGATATCATTAATTTGCAAATGAATTCCATAAAATTTTATGGAATTCGTTTGTTACAAACACTATGTAAATCTTGTACAAGCAGGTAATCATTTTTTAGAAAGATAAGTTTGCACTAATAATTAACATCCGTAATTCAATTAAGACATGAAATCCATAGTGATAAAGAAGGTCCACTATCAAACTATTATGGTAATTTAGCTATCAAACTAATATCACAATTAGGAGTACTATCTTTAGATATTGGCTTATTGCATGGATGGTTCTTGGAAATAAGAGGGAAAACGTGGGAAACTGGACCTTTGCTTGGACACTTGCTTAGTTGCTTTTGGGTTGTCAGGTTATTGTGCTAGACTCTATCTACTTCTTTTACAAGTGAAGCAGTATTTCTTACTTGCAAAGGGCTTTGTTCAATTTTTTAAGCAATTTTTGGAGAATACCTCCAATTTCTTTCTCTCTATTTAAGAAAAAAGTGAGCCTATGTAAAGGCTGGTACCATATACGTTTGAGGTGCTAGAGTCAGGCCACATAAGGAGTACTAAATTTTGATGGTGCTGCAGCTACCCTAGTCAAATCATAGGGTCGCCTTTGGTTATTGAGTTACAACTACTGGATTAATCCAATTGTAATAATGAAGTCAACTAACAAACTATCTTGGTTTACATAGAGTTGGTCGTTCTGTAATTTCGTTTGTGTTTATAGTTTGGAATTGCATACCAAAACTACAATCCCAACTCTTTTCAATCTCCTTAATGACTGGTGTCTCTGCATTGCAACGGGACCATTCTTGCTTATATATCTAAGGTCTTATGATGTTGTTAGTCAACATTTTATGTACATGATGCTACTCAATATTTACGTTGTTCTAAGCATAGACTTAAATAACGATCGTTATGTTATATAATAACTGTTATATAATGATTTTAGAGCATCCTGTTATTGTTATTTTAATACTGCTGTAAGCCACAATCTGTGATAGTGATTGCGACTGTTTTTTCAAGCATCCGCAATTTAAACCTATGGTTCTAAGCTATGCATTAATTTAATGTGCTATGTTATTTGATGTTTACTTCTATGTTTTTGTACTTAGCTTGCCCCTTCTAGGGAAATTTTTTAGTTTGTGTTAAAACTGTTTGTTTGAATTGCCTGTGAAGATTTGGGATATTTCCTTCATGGGGCCTCTCGCAGAAGCTTTCGCGCATTATAGGGGCCAACAGGGCACGCGAAGCATCTCTAACAGCCATGCCAATTTCTGCAGAGCAAGCTGAGAAGTGGGGTTTGGTTAACCATGTTGTGGAAGAAGGCAAAGTGTTGAATAAAGCCCGAGAAGTTGCAGAGGCCATTATGAAAAATAATCAAGACTTGGTGTTGAGATACAAGGCTGTTATAAATGATGGCCTGAAGCTGGACCTGGGTCATGCTCTTTCTTTAGAAAAGGTGTATCATCTGTTCTCTGTCTGACATCATATGATAACACAATGGAGCATTTCACTTTTATGATTTAGTTGCTGTTCTAAGACTGCATATTTTTTGGTCTGCCATTTTCTTTGCTTAGTATTTCCTAGACCAGGAGGTGAATAAAATGAGAAGAAAAAGAAACATGAGGAGGGGCTTTACAAAAACAACCCCCTCGTTACTCTTTGTAAAGTCTACTTGCTATTCTTTTATGAGATTACACAGGTGATGTGAAGGTGTTAATGAAATATGCTAGCACCACACTGACACTGAGGCCGAATGGAACCATAACTAGTCATTTCTGTTTATCTGCTGCTTGATGGTCTTGCTTCAATATCTCTTTTCGACACACTTGCTCTGTCACATACATGTACATCTTTATTTCTCTTAGTTTAGGGATTTTCCGGAAGTTTTATAAGCATATCCTAGTCCTCTCATGCATTGTTTGTTTTTTGGTTCCTTGCTTATGTTTTATCTAATTTCCTGTTTCAGCAAACTCACATTGTTATTGTCTTTCGTGAATGTGCTTGTTTTACTATCAAGTACATGCTTATGTTATTATTAACAAATATTTGCTCAATGGTTTGTTTCAGGAGAGGGCTCACGCCTATTACAATGGTATGAGCAAGGACCAGTTTCAGAAGATGCAGGAATTCATAGTTGGTCGGGCCTCCAAGAAACCTTCTTCAAAGTTGTAAATCTCTCAATTTCTAAATCGCCAAATGGTTCTGGTATTCTGAAAACCAAACACATGTTGCTCTTTGAAGGTGGGAAATTTGAAATCAATAAAATTATTTGTCGTATAACCTGATTTGGCGGTTTGGACTTGGTAGGCCTCTCTACTTGTTGAAACTGAAGTGCTAAAATGAGAACTTATCAATGTTTTCTGCGTCTGCTAAACCTGAGGCTTGTCCAAGCTGAACCTCTTTATTCTTCAAAAAGAAAAATGTTGATTCTCTTTCGCTAGTCATCCTTAACACGGTACCTGAATTGCACGTGTAATCCCCATGACTGCTTACTATTTTAAACCACTATTTCTAATTACTGGAGTATCTTATAAAAGAGCTCTTGAAGGCTGCATATGGCTAGAGATGGTTATTTTTTATTTATTTATTTATTTAAATAGATTTTTTTGTCCCTCAACTATTGGGGTTGTGCATATTGAGGTTTGTTATTATGTCTTGGCCAAATATTATTCTTCCGTTTGATCGTTATCATTTTGATCAACGGCCATTCAAAATTAATTTTTGGTTTTTTGATCTAAAAATTTTCACAATTTTTACATATGCTAATAAAAATATCTAACCAAGATCGACAATGGCTTAAAATTATTATTATTATTTTTTTTTTGAGCTGAAAAGTTACAAGTTTTACATATATTAACAAAAATATCTAATTAAGTTTAAAATAAGTTCATTTTGAAAACAATAATTGTATTAAAATGATCTATGTAGATTCATATACTCTCCTTAAAACTCTTTAAAAAAAAAAAAAAAAGATAATTCCAGTTTATTTTCTATTTTTCATAATTTTTTATTTTTTCCATAAAATGAAAAGAAATACTTTCTGATTTAAAAAAAAAATTGTAATTATTTGTGAGAGTGAATTGGATTGTCATTAGTTGCTGTGAAAAGAAAAATAGTTGAAAGTATAGAAAATTGAATTTTCTAAAATGAATTTTTTGTCGATGCTAATGGTCAGAATCAAATAAAAGAACAAAATTTATTCAAAATACAATAGCTTAAAGATAAAATTAACCGAATTAATAATATATATTTCAACGTGAGACAACTCCGATAGTCTAAGGACAAAACGTACCATTAAATCGTTTTCTTATTACATTGCCGGCTGCCAGGGCAGGTTGTGGGGTGAGACTGTCCCTGGTCCCGTCTGAGCCATATGTCATTTGTTATATTTGGGTTGAACCAGTGCGTCCATTGCTGCATGTAGGCCGCGGGTGGCTCAAATGTGGCGCAGCTGACCGGCTACGTCTAGTACCACCCATTTTATTTTTGTTTGGTTCAATACAATAAAAGTTTGAAAAACGAATGTAGAATTGGAGGAATCATAAGATAGAATTATGTTTAAACAATCTAAAATGTATTTTTTTTTCATGTATCTTTCTAGGGACAGTATAATCGAGTAACTGTACAAATTAAACACCATATCTCGCTAGCCCTTCATTAAGATAATACCCGCCACTATATAAAGTCACCCTAGTGTGTTTGCGTCTTTTCATTTTGTCAAGGTAAATTTAGGAAAATAACAGAAAAATGGTTCTGTGATTCGTCATTGGTTGGTTACTTCTTTTGGAATAGTAATGTAAAAGTGTTTCGTTTTTTTAAAACATAATTTAACTATAAAAAGTAAATTAAATTTAACAAAAATCAGAGTGAAGCCATGAAAGAAAAAAAATTCAACTTTCTACGCGTTCATCTTCATTTTCTAAATATGTCACGTGTCCGACATGAGTATTTCTGTTATTGAAATCATACAAAAAATCTTTCTACGTATGCAAGTGTGACTCATCTAGTAATTTAGTACTCTCATTACTATTGTCTATTACTTTCTTTTTCTTTTTCTTTTCTTTTTTTCCCACTTATTATTATCTTGATTTTTTTTTTTTAATTATTGATCGGGAGATCTTGGACTAATGGTTGCATTTTGTAGAATAGTGTCTTAACTTTACTTTTGCCCTTACTCACCAACCTAGTCTATAACCTCTTATATAAAGACCAACTAAGCGAATAAACGTTCAAGTATATAGATGAAAACATGTACAACTTACTTAAAAGGGTTGGTTTGAACGTAAATGATTATAATCGTTTAATCAAATAGTTTTAAATTCCTCCGAATATTTATATACGTAGAAAATTTTTTAAATAGTTATATTATTTTGCATGTTTTATAGAAGTGAGTAATTAGTTTAGCTCTTTAAATTTAAAATATATTAGGAATCCTTAAAAAAAAATTTACAACTCATACATATCGAGAATCATCATGTATTATTTATTTGTTCAACATTCATTAGCTCATTGTACGTATGTTAAATTCTGTTTTCTTTTTTTAAATGTAAGGAAAAAAATAGCTTAATATACAAATAAGGTGGTAGATTTGAGGATATTCTTACCAAATTATCAAAACGAAAGGATATTTTTATAGTAAGCTTGTGTTACTTACATATATATAGTACTTACTAATGCAGTCACTTCTTCGATTTTTCTTTTTGCCCCGTTGAAAATTAAAGTATCTGGTAATTTTAGTATCTGACATGAAAATGTAGAAATTAAAGACTCTTTGTGAATTATTCGAGGCATATGGAAACCAATACCAACACAAAGGAATTTAAATTAACAACACAACCAGCTTTTAAACAATATGATGTTTCTGACTACTCACACCGACACTATGCGAATTACAACAATGGAGGCTGGTTGCTTCAGTAATGCTGTGCTGAAAGCAGCACATTCAAGAAAATCATGGCAGAATGGAAGATTCTTGACAAAAGTCGGAGCCTATCTTCTTCCTGCAATAATCATCAACGTTTCCAGTATTCCCTATCATGATGGCTTATTTTTCTTGATATTGTTTCGCGCTGACCGTCCTGCAACTAATTAACCCCTCCTTGGGTCAATTGTTGCTCATTTGGCCTGCAATTAAATCCAAACCTTTATACTAGTGGGTATGTTTGCTTGAGCCTGCTGAACACTTGCGACGTAAATCAATAGAGAGATAGGACCATCTGGATCTACCAGTCTTCAGGTTCTGGTTTCACTCCAGGGCGGCTTGTGCTTAAATCTTATTTAAAACCAACCCTGTTTTAGCTACAATTAGTAGGTTTTTGGTTGTCTTGCGAACCAATTTATTATGTGCTAATTAAAAGCCTATTGGATATATGTTATAGGTCCAGTCAGGCGTGATTTTAACCTAACTCATTAAAAAATTAAATAGTAAAAGACAAGAGGAAAAAAAATTTCTTTAATTTGTTTTTTCTTTAGTTAAGACATGCATGTATAAAAGAAAGCTTTGGTCTTTCTTTTCGTGCAGTTGCCACGAGAAAGTAACGAGGAGCAACAAAAAAAAAAAAAAACGATTTTTCTCATTCTTTTGATGATTTTTATAGAAATCAAGTAATGATTTTTTGTGCTTAAAATACTGTGGTATTCTCTACTATTGATTTTTGGGTACTAAAATCATAAAAAATTACAGAATTCAACATAATGATTTCACACAATATTGGGTTTTATAAAAACACAAATTTTATAGATTCTAGATTTCATGTTGAAACAGATTCAACTAGATAAGTAACTTGTATGAATGCTAATATTTTTGTTTCTCAAATTTACTTACAAACTAGAGCGATTGTATTGTTATTATTATTATTATTATTATAGATTATTTTAGAATTAGTCTTGTAGTTTTTTCCTCTACAATTAATAAAGAAAGTTTTTCATGTAAATTTAGTGCGCCTGGTTGTGCTTGTGATTGATTTATTTTTTATTTTTGATTATTATGTGTATTTGATTTAACTATTTTCTCACGAAATTTAATTTACACGAAGTAGAATTAAATTTCAAACGATGATATAGAAACTTTGGTTTGAATATTTATATAATTAAATGGAGAAAAATAATGTAGAAGTCATGATCAAACCGATGACTTCAAATTATTCGATTTGAAAGTTGATAATGGAGGATTTACTTTATTACTATGATTTGTTTTATCTGATTGAATTAGATAAAGTTAAGCTAATCGTCAAAACCGATGATGCTTGGAAAAAGAAGCATGAGAAAACTATTGGAGCTATAGTAAAAGGATAATAATATGCTTCACTATGTATCTAAAAAGACAGATGCCTAAGAACTATAGAAAAAATTAGAGAGTATGCATGAGAACAAAAATAGTAAGGGTTCTACAACAAGTTTAGAGAGACTTCTAGGCTTGTCTTTATGCTAAGCGATTGTTGGCAATTATAAAGGATGTTTATTTCTTCAACAAGGCTAGAATATAGATATCGACCTCTTCGGATTCTCCAATGGCAATCCAGATCTATAATTTTGAGGATTAATATCCTTATAGGGCTATTGCTATCGGGAAGGATGGTATATTCTTAGCAACCATTCTCCAATAGCTTTTTCTCCCGGCAAGACATGCGAGTAATCATAAGGAGTCATATTCACTATGTGCTCCTAAAGAGCCTAGAGCTGAAACTATTTTTGGCATTCCTATTTCTCTTTTTTTTTTTTCCTCAAGATAAATCTTTAGAGCTAATAATTATCTCGCTCATTTTCGTCTCTCTTTTTTGTAGAAGATCTCTCCTTTTGTTAATTTTTCATAGATAGGACTACTAATGACGTCTTGATCTTTATATTAAAATTGATGATTAGATGACTTTCAATCTAAATTGATCGCATGGTTGATATAGTTTGTCATACATTGAATCAATAGCGAATACTTGCAAAATAAGCCCGTCTCTAGTGTTTAGAGGACCATATGATGGCTAAGTTAGCTCATAGAAAGAGATGTATTGCTTAAGTAGACTTTAGGAAACTTAGCTCTTGTACGGAGAAAATATATAATATTACATATATTTTGAGTTTAAAAGGAAGAACCTATAATGATTGGCATGTTAATCCGTACATAAGTGGATTGTGATCAACTTACATAGACTAGAGTGTTGATTGATCTCTTCTCATGTGTTTAACGACTCCCGACATCCACTTGAAGATTTAGAATTTTTTTAGACAAATATCATTATCCGACGGCAAATGTATATTCATATTTGGTGATGATGTGATAGAAACATCCTAAAAAATCACTAGTTCATTAAATATACGTCCTTCTTATCTAACAAATGGAAGGAGCAATATTTTCTTTGTTTGGATCATTCACCTATATTGGTCATCCAGTGCTTTACTCGGTTATAATGTCTCTAATGGTTGGTCGACGTTATCTTGTTTGTCGATATCCGATATTTATGAGACTTCTAAAAATTCTATTAAAAAATTATCTATTTTGTTTATTTACTAGAGTTGTAAGTTAAATCATATTTTGAAGTTGCCACCTAATATTAAAGAAAATTAGAAAACCTAAAAGTGACATTGTTTCGGAGATGTTAGGATAAGGATTGGTCATATCTTTGAAAAGATATCGATCACCCAAAAATACCATTTCTAAGAAAAGTTATCATGTTTGGTCAATTCTAAAAATTTATCTCCTAAAAATTTTAATTTTTTCCAAATTTATTCTCAAGTCAAAATTCTAAGTGTACTACTTAAGGTCAAGTTAATTTTTTTATTTTTTATTTGTAGCATCATATTGAACCGATCATCAAACCCCTTCATTGAGAGTCTTATCAATTCAATATCGGATTTAGCTTAAGTCTCGACATAACCAAGTATGTTAGAAAACAACCCGATTAATAACATCGGTCCCTATTAGATAGAAAACTTGTTAAATTAACTTATCATTTTCTCTTTTTTGCTTTTTTTTTTTTGTATTTTTTATGGTTGGACAAAATATATTGAAACCACCATCCGTCCCTAATAAATAAGAGACTCATTGATCCGGCATCACGATAGAAGAAAATCCATGTATTAAGATAAAATTCACAATCTAAATATTTCTACGTTTTATACCACAAATAAAATTAAACTTTATTACAAAATACTTGAAAAGGGTAAGGAAACAAACCGAGTGGTCACTAAAAAGTGATCAAAATGCCTTTTAGAATGCCACCGAAAATGACCAAATTGCCTTTTGCTTGAGAAATAACCAAAATACCCGTGGGAGTAAACGAGTGTTGGCTCGTGCGACACATATGCCTAGCAAATTACATAACTACCCCTCGAAGCTCCAATCATCGCTACCACCATCCACGACCATCGTCTAATCACCTCAAAGCGCATCATCAATCGGAGAAGGAGCACCTAGAACTACTTTCAATTTGGTGGTAGCGGTCTCAACCACAAAGGTCGAAGGAGCGAGATCGGGGATCGGCTAACGACCGCCCTTCTTTTCTTCTTCTCCAAACATGATTATTGCCATGGTGAGGAGTTAGGAGGAAATCAATCCACCTAAATGGCCACGAAGAATGTTTCTACGATGGTTAGGAGATCCAATTTGATCCGAAATGGGAGATTTTTAATCGAGTTGTATCAAACGAGTCGAGATAGTTCTCTTCTTTGATTCGATTAACTTTTGATGACGTTGAGTCATGATTTTAAGAGGGAACTACTTCCAAAGGGGATGAGGGACACTTCTATGGTGGTGACGGTTGTTAGTTTGGTTGAAAAATAGAGGTTTGTTCGAGTTCATAAACGGGTTGGATAACCGGACTTGTCTCCTCTATTCCGGTCTCCTCCGAAGTCTTCTTCTTCTCTAACCAGTCTCTAACCAATTGGTAACAATGGATCCGGGGCTAGCCTATCTATTGGTGATGGTGGCTGAAGATGATATCGACTCGGAGGATGATCGATTTGAGAGAGAAAATTTGACGGGTCTAACTTACGAGTTAACAGTGTCGACTCGGTTATGTTTATGGATTGTTTGGATTTTCTTTTGTTTTCTAAGTGAAGATGAATAGTGACGGCTCCTACATTTTTGAAGGAGATGAATAGTTACACCTCTCTCCACTTTTTTACCTAGAGTTGTTTTTTTTTTTTTTTTTTAAAGGAATGATAAGTAATGGAGGCTAGGTTTTTTATGGAGAAGAAGAGTAATGTAAGCTAGGATTTTTGGATAGAAAGATGAGTGATGAAGGTCGGGGTATTTTATGGAGAAGATGAGTGATAGAGGCTAGGGTTTTTGGGGTGGGAGGAATAATTGTGGCTCTCTTAAAAAATGAGGTGAAAATGTGTTTATATAGGAATTTTTTTAGGGTCCGGGATAAAATCAAATTTGCTTCTTCTTTTGTCCATTTTTTTTTCAATTTCAATGCATATTTTATTATTTTTTTCTCAACTAGTTCCGTAATTGAAATTTTTTAATTCACATTCTCTTGATTTCTTTCAATTTCACACTCGATTAATTCTCAATCATGTTCCTTGATTTTTTTATTCCTTTCCAACTACTTTCCTAATTGAATGTCATTTGATCCTCACTTTTCACACCATTTTCAATTGAATCCCAAATCATTGTCCCATTTTTTTCTTTTTCTTTTTTCTCTCTTTTTTTTTAATTAAAAATAGAAATAATTCTAAGAAATTAAGTTCCTAAAAATTTATAAAAATACCTAAAAATCATGAAGAGACAAATTATACAATATGCCAATTTTTAAAAATGTTTTTCTTTGAATTTTGTATGAAATTGAACGGGGGTAAAAAAAATGGGTTATTATACTATTAATTATGAAATATTGTCCAAGTGATTTTTGAGTGAAGTAGAAGGACACGTATGGATGATCGTGATCATGTAAATATATCATTATGGATTATTCGAATAACCATAACTTTGGCAATAATATTGCTGGCATAAATTATCACAATTTTTCTTTGGCTAAGATCATTGTTTCTTGAGGTTTACTAATTGAAATTGTTATATCATCATCAAAAAATTTAAGCTTTTTAGAGCTTAGAAATGTTGCAACAGAGTATTATATTCTATTCCAAATCTTTTTAAAGCTGAAGATGATGGTATTAGAGTTTTAATTAAGTAGTCTAAAGAGAAAAACTGAGGTTTATTATATTTGAGGAAGCCAAACCGCTTTCAATCTTTACGTATAAGTGAGACATAACTAATATGTATTGTATTTAAAAGGGATGAATTGCTTCTTCTTCTTTTTATATATGATTTTTCTTAATAATAAGTTTTTTGTACTATTAAAAGCTATTGACGACTAGCTAATTTGTTAAAAATAAAAAAACTAAAATATGAATCCTATTCGAAACACAATGACAAGTTCCATTCAATTTCTAATTCCGAAGCCAACTATAATTCCGGCCGCTTGACAATGCTCAAATCCAAATCAACTTCAAATTCGGATTCCGAGTCGAATATAATAAGTACTCCTTTTAATTGATAGTTTTTTACAACTAAAATATGAATCCTATTCGAAACACAATGACAAGTTCCATTCAATTTCTAATTCCTAAGCCAACTATCATTCCGGCCGCTTGACAATGCTCAAATCCAAATCAACTTCAAATTCGGATTCCGAGTCGAATATAATAAGTACTACTTTTAATTGATAGGCTTTTACAACTCAGCAAGAAAAAAAAATCTTATTTTCTATCTCTCAACATGGCTGATTTCTCTGTGATCTCGACAAAAACTCAAACGAGCACGAACACTAATGACAAGAACCAAGAAATTCAACAACAAGACATCAACATGTTCCGTGGATTCGACATTGTAATCGATCCATCAGATCACTTTTACATCAACAACAAAAAAGGTGGAGATTGCTTCACTCACCCCTCAAGTAGGGTTCACAAGAAGATCATGCAAGAATGGAAAATCCTTGAGAAACACGTTCCTGATTCAATCTATGTTCGTGTATACGAGAATCGAATTGATCTGTTAAGAGCAGTGATCGTTGGCCCCTCAGGTACACCATACCACGATGGGCTCTACTTCTTTGACATTGCTTTCCCATCAGATTACCCGTTCACACCTCCTTTAGTTTATTATAAATCATTTGGGTTGCGTATTAACCCTAATTTATATCAAAACGGGAAGGTCTGTTTAAGTTTATTGAACACATGGGTGGGTGAAAAATGCGAGAAATGGAATCACAACCAGTCCACAATTCTTCAAGTTTTGATCTCGATACAAGCGCTTGTTTTAAATGAGAAACCCTACTATAATGAACCGGGTATGAGGACATGTGAAAAGAAATCTAATGAATACAGTGAAAATGCTTTTATTTTGTCATGTAAGACAATGTTGTATTTACTGCGTAGGCCTCCAAAGAATTTTGAGGGTTTTGTTACTAGTCATTTTAGAGAGAAGGCAAGTGTTATATTATCAGCTTGTAATGCTTATAGTAATGGTCAAGTTAAAGTTGGGTATTATGGGAAGGATGGGTCATGTCCTGCAAGTTGTCCAACGGTTCGTGTATCAAGGAAATTTAAAGGTTCAATTTATAAGTTGTATCCGGAACTGCTTTCGAATTTCCGGAGCAATGGAGCTTCGTTAACGGAGATTGATTCTATGGAGCAATTAATATTGACAAAGAAGAGAACAGGGTTGTTGAAAGGCAAAGTGGGGGTTAAGGAAAGTGGATATGTAAGGATGGTTTTTGGGAAAGTGATGAAATTTTTGGGATTAAATAAGAATGGGAGTGGCAAAAGAGATGTTGAAGCAGAGACCCAAACCTAGTTGTCTTTGAACCCATGTGGGCGTGTCTACTGGATTAACAGCTTTTTTTTATTTATTTAAAAAAGGCTTTATTTATTTATTATAAAGGAGAGATTTAAATTCGAGATTTTTTTAAAAAAAATTAATGTTAGTTGACTTATAATTATATATAATCATCATATCATGATCACCAAGATATATACATATATGGTACTTATTTTCTAAATAAAAGATATGTCGTGTTTTGCAAGTGTATTTCTTGTTTGTTGCATTTATTGTTGGGTAATTTGTGTTTTGTATATATATATATATATATATTTAGCTAAATAGTAGTCTTCCTATGTGAGTTTTACTTATATAATAATATCGAGTCTTTATCACGATCACCAAGATTCTTATATATTTGGTGGCGGCAGCAGTGGTACAGAATAATAATATTAATAATTTTTGTTTTTATTGCCAACGTTAATGATTGACAATTAGTTTTTTTTATATATATATATGACTCGGATAAACAGAGACAATGCGTAGCAAAATAATGAGTTCGTTAATGTTCACAGTTCGCTCAAGGAACATGTTTTTGGCGTCAATTTGTTGTTTTTTTGTTTTCTAGCGTTTGACATCATTGGGTAGGAATAATTAATGTTGGTGAATCATCCAGTCGATCAGACTTAGCTTAATTACGCTCTTTCCTGCCCTGTTATTAGACGTTAGTATTTTCTTTATTTAAAAAATATCGATTACTTTTATTTTTTTATATTATTTAAAAACTTTATCAATTGTTATATCATATTAATATTTTCTATTTATATTTTTTAAAATATATTTTTTGTTAAAATTGTTAGTTATAAAATTTAATTTTACATTATAATGAAACCAATATTTATTTTAAAGAAAATTTCTATCCAAAATTAAGATGATAAATAAAAAAATTCATTAAATTAATTAATGATTAAGTTTAGAATAATTATGAAAAAAATAACATACTAATAGAAATATTTTACTTCTAAATTTTTATTTGATATGCAGTAAAAATTTTACACAAATAAATATTTTAAGGCATAAATAAATAGAAAGAGAGAAAAAAAATTGGAACAAAATAAGTACTAAAATTGGTCAAAAATTCTAAACAACTAGCATTAAATTCTTATAAACTTGACGTGTAAATTAGCAATTATTTTCTTCCATGACCTTAGCAATTGGCCTAGTAATTAAAAAAAAAATTGTTAAGTTTTTTAATTTTTTAGATTTAAATTTTGAGATCTTCATTCAGATAAATTAATTAAAATTTATATACATCAGGTCGATATAAATTATGCCCTTTTACGATCATTCAAAAAAATCTCAATTAATGTATAAACTATTTGCAAATATATATATATATAAAGCTCTCTCTCAATCCCATCTGATGTGAAACCCATTCCTAAAGCAGGTGTAGGTTTATGAACAGAATATTGCTCTTTTTTCTAATTAAGGCCTAGCTTATCACATGGTAAGTTGCAAGTCTCATCCAATTGTTTCATTAATTCAACAGGAGGTCACAATCATTTCAATTTCGATGCAAAATTAGAAAAGAAATAGCATATATCCCATGCGTTATCATATGGTAAGTTATACAATATTATTATGTATTCATTCATATAAAATTTAAAATTTAAAAATAATTATTTAAAAGGATCACATGAAAAAATTAAAAAAAAAAAACCAAAATATATATCTCATATTTTGCTGCAGAGGTTAGTTAAACGAAAAATCTATAAAGTTGAGTATTATAATGTTACTAATTAGATATTATTTGATATAAACATTTATTTTATTAGAAATACGTATAATAACCGATAATTAACATAATGATGTAGTAGTTTTTTTTTAACTTTAGATGATAATTTTTATCATATATTCTTCATCCGTAATTTATTAATGAGATAGAAAGATCACCCAAGATAAAAATATAAAAAAACTTTATCAAATCGAGAATTTGGCAAAAAAAAAAAAATAAATAATAAGAGAGATAAAATTACATACATTAAAAATTAAATTATCAAAACAAAGTAAAGATCATTAAAAAAAAAGATCAAAATAAAAAAAATAAAAAAACTTTCACTAAAAAAAAAAAAAACCTTATAAACAACAGGACTAAAAAACAAATTTCATTATACATAAGGCAGGAACAAAAGTAAAACATAATAGAATTTTCATGACCAAAATAAAAAAAAGTCACAAAATAAGAACCAAAACAGAAAATGTTTTTTGCTAAAAGCCAAAAAAAAAAAAAACCTTAGAATAATGAAGTCGCATTTAATTTTAGTATAGAAAAAATAATAATCAAATATAATAAAACTTTAATGATCAAAATAAAATATCACAAAATAAAAACCAAAATATAACAAAAAATTTTACTAAAAGTAAAAAAAAGTTCCTCGTAGGAAAAAATCAAATATAATAAAAATTTAATGATCAAAATAAAAAAAAACAATTACAAAATAGGGACTAAAATAAAAATAAAATTCTATGAAATTCAATAGCCAAAACCAAGAAAAATCACAAAATAAGAATTATAATAGAAAGGAAAGTTTCACTAAAAAAAAAAAAGCTTAGGATAGTGAAACATTATTTAGTTTTAGTATAGTAAGGATAAAAATCAAATATGATAAAACTTTAATGACTAAAATACAAACATATCACAAAATAGGAACAAAAAAAGAACATATATTTTTACTAAAAGTCAAGAAAAAAATATTTATTATAAAAAAAAATCAAATATGATAAAAATTTAATGACCAAAGGAACAACCAAAATAAAAAAAATTACAAATCAAGTACTAAAATAAAAATAAAAACCAAAAGAGGGGCTTGAAAAACGCAACAAGAAAAACAAAGGAAAAAAAAGGTGAACAATGAAGGATTAGGGAAAGGGAAAGTGCTATAGAACTTTTCCGTTTTACTTTAGTATACCTTACTAGATTTTTGACTCGCGATACGTTGCGGGTTAGATAAAATACATAAAATCATTTAGAAAAATTATTTGAGTTTAATAATCTATTTTATGGTGTGAATCAATAACAATATATGAAATCAAAGATAAAAAAACTAATTATAATTTTATAATAAAAAATTTTGTATTTAAATATTTCTTATTTGTATTTTTCATATTTTTTTCTTTACATAAAGGATTTATTCTTGTTAATCCATGGATTATTAACTAAAAAAAATAATTTTTTTTAAAAAGCTTTAGTATTTTATAAGATTGTGTTGAAAAACAAAAATAACAATTACTAAAAGCTTACATAGAATTGAACAAAAAAAAATTTTATTTCATGTTGAAAAAATATGAATTTAATTTTTGTTAATTGGATGAATAATATTAAAATAAATAATAACTATGAGTAAATATAATTTTAAATTAATTGGATGAGAATTTAAAAGAAATGAAAAATTAATGAAAATAGTAATAAATGACAAACTATGAGCAATAAAATTCTTTATTATAATATACATACTTTTTTTTTTTGAGAAATACATCTTATGTAATTGTTAATTAATAAATTATGTTCTGTGATATTAATATTTTATGTAATATGCATTTTCTTATAGACATAATTATTTTTTCAAATTAGATATTTTAAACTTTAGAAATAAATAATAAAAGAAATAAATTGTTGGTTCCTTTAAAATTTTAGCATCCAATTAATTGTTAGTTCCTTTCAAATTTTAATACCCAACATTATTCAGAAATGAAAATTAAAAAAAAAGTCTTTCACTTTTCGAAACGAAAATAAAAAAATGGTCACACCAAAAGAAAATTTAGATATTTTAAATTTTATAAATAAATAATAAAGGAAGTAAATTGTTAGTTTTTTTAGAATTTTAACATCCAATTAATTGTTGGTTCCTTTAAAATTTTAACATTCAATATTATTAAGAAACAAAAATTAAAAAAAAAAGAACAATTCAATGTTTAGGAAAAAAATAAAAAATAAAAAAGGGCCCATGACATATTGATTTTGAAGAATCCGCCACAATCAGAGAATGCACATACAGAGAATGATATTTAACAGCCAGAGATTTAATGGTGGAAAATGGTTTCTTAGGCATTCTTTGTACAGATTGAAGAAAAAAAAAAAAGAAAGGGAGGAGTCGTTTACTGTTCACATGAACAGGAAACGGAAAAAAAATAAAGAAAGGAAAGAAAGCTCTGGCGCTAGCAAAAAAACAAAATACTGTAGTAATGAACAGTGTTGTGATTGACGCTGTTTATTGTTACGGTAAAAAATTATTTTATTTTAGTTTATAGGTAGTAATTGTTCTAAGTAGAAGAAACTTGGATGTTGTTTGTGAATCTTAGCTTGAGAGTTTATGCTTGAGAGCTAAATAAATCCAAAGTATTTGTGGTCACGAGAAGTAAAGGTGGGATCTGTAGAATCCATTTATTGGAAACTTAAAACGAAAACTTGCATGTTTGTGTGGAAACTGAGAGTGATAAGATATGGAGCGGAAGTTTTATATTATAAAATTTATAGAATTACATGGATCATGTTAACGGGTTATTCTGGATTCATTTGATTTGTATTCTAACTTTGTCCTGGCCTGACTCACCCACCCACGTCTGCCTTCAGGACCCATAATCCTCGGATTCTTCAATTAATGTTTTCTTTTTCTTTTTTAAGGGCAAATAAATCTACATATTTAAAGATTAAGTCAATTTGTTTAAAAGCCTTTGAATTTTGCTCCGGTTTTATGATGTCTTTTCTGGAACAATTTCATTTCTTTGGTTAATTTCTTTGTTTTGAAAAACCAAAACATAGGAGATTAAATTATTCAGATGGGGTCCACATTCAGGGATTAAAGGACTTATATTATTATGATAATATCGGAAACAAGGAAACCTTACTTTGCATTTTAATAAACACCAACTTAGAAAACTACTGCTCTTATGAAAAGTTATGATTTAATCAAAGAAAGGTTAGAGCCCATACTATATGGCCCGCAAATTTCAACTTTCCTCTTTTGACGATGCTCAAATCACCGTCGATTAGTGGGTCCAATTCGCATTATGAACCCAATAATTCCCAGTACTACAGATTACTTGTACATTAGTCTCTCAACCACTCCTATCTTCTACCAAAGATTCGAAACAATCAAAAACTTCTCCTACTCCGCCTCTCTTTCTCTGTCAAAATGACTCTCTCTTTACCCTTAGTGGAACCCCAACAACAGCACCAACAAACCACCACCAATGGTGAGATCCAAGAGATCGACATTTTTCACTTTTTCGATGTCGTATCTGACTCATCAGACCACCACTACCTCAACACCAACAACATCGACAACGACAACAACAGCAAAAAAAACAAAGGTGGAGGAGATTCTTTCACAAATATCTCAAGTGGGGTTTACAAGAAGATCATGCAAGAATGGAAAATCCTAGAAAAACACCTCCCTGATTCAATCTATGTTCGTGTGTACGAGAATCGAATCGATCTCTTAAGAGCAGTAATCATAGGAGCCGCAGGTACACCATACCATGATGGACTTTACTTCTTTGACCTTGCTTTTCCACCAGACTACCCGGCCCGACCCCCTTTTGTTTATTACAGATCATTCGGGTTACGAATCAACCCGAATTTATACGCAAATGGGCGGGTTTGTTTAAGTTTATTAAACACTTGGCCCGGTAAAAGAAGTGAGAAATGGAATTCCAGTGAATCCACAGTACTTCAAGTTCTGGTCTCCATACAGGCCCTTGTTTTGAATGAGAAACCATATTATAACGAACCCGGTAATGGGGTGTTACCGGGCCGGGTCATATGGGAGAGGAAATCAAATGCTTACAGTGAGAATGTTTTTTTCTTGTCTTGCAAGACAATGTTGTTTTTATTACGAACGCCACCAAAACATTTTGAGGGTTTTGTTGCTAGTCATTTTAGGGAGAAGGCAAGTGTTATATTATCAGCTTGTAATGCTTATATAAATGGTCAAGTTAGAATCGGGTTTTATAAAAATGACGGGTCATGTTCGAATTGTAATTCATCACCTGTTGATGCCTCAGAGAAATTCAAAGGGATCATGGGTCAATTGTATCCAGAGTTGGTTTCGGGTTTTAAGAGAAATGGAGCTTCTTTAGGGAATTTTCTGGATCAGTTAAAACAGCCGGTCGAGAAAAAAAGGGTGTCATTAAAGGGCAAAACGGCTCTTAAAACTAAGAAGAGTGGATTTGCAAGTATGGTTTTTGGGAAATTAAAGAAAGTTTTGGGGTTAAAGAAGAAGAGTAAGAGAGGCAAAAGTGGGGTAAAAAAGAAGGGTTCTTGATGGAGGTGAAAGGGACCCAGATGGGATTTTTAATTTTGCTTTATTAAGGTACTTGATTTTACAATCTTTTATGATGATGATCATCATGACCATTCTTGATGCTAATCCTACTATATAAGATTTTGACTCTTACACTGTTAGCATAGAAGCAAATAAGATAGACTAAAGTTTAAACCTGGCTGTTACGTAAAGGATATGATTTGTCGGAAGTTTGTTTCTTGTTTGTTGCGTTGTTGTTTCTTGCGTGTTGTTCTCTCTCTCACTTTTTTTTTCCCTTTCTTGTTTGTTATACTATTATTAGCTAATTTTATTATGGTCTCTTAAGCAGATCACACTCATAAAAATTGTGCGTTTCCTGATTAAACTCATTCCTTGTTTAAAATATTAATGGTTTACGGTGCTGTATTCAGGGACCTTTGATCTGGACGTTTTAAGACCAGGTAAAAAGAATTAATCACGAGTAAATTTTGTCCGAGTACCGCTCCTTTTAAGGAAAAAACCACCACGAAGACCCAATGGCAGTAATTATAATTTACTCGTAAATATTTCGTTACAAAAGATTCGCCTAAGGTCACTAATTCGTCGTCACAATTGCATTGCATTAATTGCGAAACCATCATGCATAACAGCTATCTGCAAAAAGGAAATTGTCATCTATTAAAAAGAAAAGGTAAGCAATTAATCAAACGCTAAGCTAACAGATGGTTTGAGTCAACGAATCTATCCTTTACATTTGTAAGTTTATTTAGAAAAAAAAAAAAAAAAAAAAAGGCGAAAAACTAGTTGCAAAGAAAAATGCTTAGCAAATTTCCCTTGGCAAGAACAAAAGAAAAACTACCTGAATCCTAATTTAAGTCTTTCCAGGCTAACAAGGCTTTGGAATTTTAGCTTATTGAAATTATGGCATCAGACAACTTTCCACCAATCCATGGGACTTCAAAACTCAGAGTTCCATTGCTTGACCACTCAAACTCAACTTTCTCCCCGATCAGCATAATCTCCTTAGGTTTCTTGCTTGAGTAAGCCAAGAACTTCCCTGTTCCCTTGATCTTAATCTGCATACAAGAAATGCTTCCTTTGCATTCATAATCCACGAACTCAATTGCCCCGCCACTGTTGAACATGTTTTCGAGGCCCATTCATCGGTGCAAATTTAGCTTCATCATTGAACGCGTGCAGTACTGGAGAACCTGCGACTATCCCAAACGAAGACGGTTGGAGGGTGATGTTCATTCCCTCTTTGGAATCCAGTATGCAAAGATTATCGGATTTGTGAAAGTAGACAGCAATTTGCCAAGTGTTTCGGTAGGTCGCTGCAGAGTCTTTCTGCTCCCATTCAACATCATCTGACGACCCAAGCCCAGACATTGACTTGTAGCATTGAAGGTAGACCTCACACTTGTGCTCTTCAGGAGTTCAGGGTACCATCTAGCTCCTCGTCTGATTGGAACAAGCCCCAATCAGGTTGAATAAACTGACCTTAATTGCCACAAGCTGTTGTAACTGCAGTGAATGTGGATTCTTTGTAACCAGTACACTCCCATAGGATTTCCATTTTGATCTTCAAACCAGAAATTATCTATGATACCATAAGAGTTGGGAAAAACTGTCCCCATCTCACAAATACCGTGGACATACACTAAAAAATACGACTGTGCGTTTCACTGTGCAGTAATATATATTTTTTTTTTTGTAATTTTAAAGCTATTTTAGTCATTTTATATGCAAGTTTACCCGAATTTTAAGATTTAATTCCTGATTTTTTCAGATAATTTTGTTTTAATACCAAACTTTATTTGTATCATGGTTTAGTTATTAGTTACAAGGAGGAGAGAGAAAATAACTAAGAGACATATATTGACCATTTTGACTCTTTGTCTTAGCTTTAATTTGTTCTGCTTAGGGAAAAAAGGTTTTTTTTATTGTAGTCACAAGTTATGAAATGATTGGAAGAAACAAATCGAAATTTTGAAATATTTTTATTTTTTTAGTTTAAATTGGAATTTTTTTGTATGTTTTAACTTTTATGTGCATTAAAATGAGTTTTGAAATTTTAAATAAGTTTATTGACCTTATTTATGTAATTTTAAGGTGTTTTTGGACAAAAAAACAACACCAAATTTAGTTTTGGAAAGACCAAAAATCTAAAAACCTATTTTTCTGGCAACATTTCTAGCAAATTATGCTCATCAGAAATCGCAAACGGATGACATGTCATCTGTTGCACAACAAAGGGATGACATGTCGTCTGTTTTTTGTTTTTAAAATGAACTTTCATTTCAAATTATATTATTCTTGTTATTTAAAATTTATTTCTTTCATTTGTCATTTCTTATGGAGATTTCCATCCAATTAATTTTTTTATTTCATTTAATTTTTATTTATTGATAAATATGATTTAATTTTTTCAATGTATGGATTTTTGAATAAAATTTTAGAATATATATATATATATATATATATATATATATATATATATATATATATATATATATATATATTAAAAAAACTGAGATAAATTATCTGAAAAGCATTTTAATCTTTAGATTAAATTTATAAAATAAGTTTTTACTTAAGAATCTATGGATTTAAAAAAAATTAAATTATTACAAGTTTTTAGTTAAAATCTGAATAAAGAAAAATAAATCATGTTTTTTTAGTAAAAACTTTATGAAAAACATAATGAATAATTGATCAAATACAAAATTTTGATAAAAAAAGAAAATCATAAAATTGAATAGATTTTTTTTATCTTTAATTTGATATATTTTGGTTGATTAGAGTACAACACGGATGATCTAACTAAAATAATTTTTTAAAATAAATTTATATATTCTTTGCGACTCATAACATAACGTTAGTAAATAAGTAGTCCATCATCTAAATGAAAATGAACCAATCCAGATTAGTTTAGGAAACAAAGTTGTTTCGTATAAAAGATAAAACCCAACATTGTTACAATAACATTGGTCTACTCCCCACGGCTTTCAAGTAGCCAAAACCGTTTCTTTTGTGGTTGGAACTTACCAACGCTGCCCATGGAAATATGTTTTGTACCAGGAAGAACTCAATGCATTGCGCCATGCTTGCAATAAGCCCAGATCCTAGAAAGTTCTTATTCAGAGACTGGCTCAACCCATCCTAGTTTTTACTATTTGGCTTTTTGCAACACATTGCAAGTCAAACAAAATATATTTATTTTAATTTAATAGCTTATAATATATTATTGATCAATTAAAATATGTAAAATTAAAAAAAAATTCATCTAATTTCAAACTTTCTAATAAAAAATTTAAAAATTTTTTATTTAGTTTATTTTTCTTTATGCTTTTCATAAATTTTGTAATTAAAAAAATACGAATTTTATTGTTTTAAATTGATCTATTTAATTTTGCAATAAGTCCAAATCCTTGGAAGTTCTTTAATTTGCCTTTTTTTTTTTTATGAAAACTTTCATCAAATTAATTTATTATTATTTTTATTTAATTTTATTTGTTGATAAATATAATATACTTTTTTTTATGGACAGATTTTCAAATAAGCTCAGATCCATGAAAGTTCTTTAATTTGCCTTTTCTTTTTATGAAAAATCTCATCAAAATAATTTATTATTATTTTTATATAATTTTATTTGTTAATAAATATAATCATTTTTCTTTATGTACAGATTTTCAAATAAGTTTTTTTTAATAAATAATCAATTAAAAAATAAATTTCATGTGCTTTATTTGTTTATTTTTATACAATTAAAATATATCAAAATTAATATTGTAGGTATTTTTATTACAGTCTACTAATTTCAATATATTCCTTACAATTTAATTTTTTTTAAAAATATTTTTTGATTTATGTTAGACATTTTGACTTACCGAGTATGGTCACACTATACAAAAATAATAAAAATTAAGATCATTGATTTTATGAAAAAATAACTATGCATCCATACACATAACACCAACTATTTACTATTACTTTTTTATTATTATAAAATTAATTTTATAATTTTTAATCAAATATTTGTATTTAATTAATTTATTTTTATGTTTTTCATAAATTTTGTAGTTAAAAAAAAAAACACAATTTGTTTTTTTTAATGCACTTATTCTTAAATAAAAACCTATAAATAATCTAAATATAAAATTTTAAAAATGTCTTAATATTTTTTCCAAAAGATTGCATCGAAAAAATAAAGCAACAATTAATATAAAAACTTATATAAAAATTAACAAATAAATATTTTTTATTTTTGTTTAATGCTAATGAGAAGATAAATTTTTTTAAAATATGTACATTTGATTTATATATATTTATTTTAAAAATAATCAGTAATATTAGTATAAAAATTGTATTTGAATTATTATGTGGTTCTTCTAAAATATTATTTTAAGTATTTATTGACTTTTATTTTTCAATTGATTATTTATTTTCAAAAAAGAATTATTCAAAAAATCATACGTAGAGAAAAATAAATTATATTTGTTAACAAATAAAATTGCATAAAAAATGAAAAATTAATTTGATGAGAATTTTTTTTAAAAAAAGACAAGTTAAAAAACATTATTTTTAAATAATAAGAGCAATATAATTCAATATATATGTTCATTTTAAAATCTAGAAACATAATATATATATTTCATGATCATCAAACTGTATGAAAAATAAAAAATAAATAGCAATTGGCTTTTCATAATTTTCAGGAAAAGCAAAAAAAAAAAGGCAAGCATGGGTACTTGTTAATTAAAAAAAAAAAAAAAAGTGTTTATAAAGCACTTCAAACAGATCCCAATTTTTCCACAACTTAACAGAGAGTGTCTGAAAGAAAAACTATGAAGGGACACCACGCCAACCACTTGACAGTCTTAAAATGTTTTATTAAAGAATGAACCAACCAAATGATTTCAATCAAAAAACGAATTTGCTGCAATCAAGAACTTGTTAATTCAAACAAAAAAAAATGCGGAAATTATTCTAAAACAGTTGATAAGCACGATCTATTGAATTTCGTTCAATCTCTTAAGAAGCACAATCTATTGAATTTAAGAACATCCGAAACCCTGAAGCGGTTGACATTGAAGAAATGGTACTTACCTGATAACATACTCAACTGTACATAAGAATGATATGCATTCCATCCTCCGTCCAATGATTTTTAGTGTTGGTGATTTTATAAATGTAGCTCGTAGGATTAATTGATAATTTATATATATAATATGTATGTATGTATCATAATCTTAAAAGAATAACATGATGCTAGTGATGATGAATCATAGATTATGTCTATATTGTCAGTACAGTGCTGATGGTATTACCGAACAACGGAAAGATTGTCAGAAGTACGTAAATCCTAGAACTCGCCAATAAATAGCAATTCTGAGCCTCAAACTTCTTAACGCTTGGGCTAATGCTAGATACATGAATGTTTATGCTTGTGTTATCAGGATGATGATGATGATAATGATGGTGATGGTGGAATGGTGTTAAATTGCTGAAAAGTGACTAAAGAAAACAAAAAATTGACATGGATAAACAACACTTACATGGATAACGTCTACTTTGACACCGGTAATACCAACATCAACGAGATAGGAATGCATGGCCTCGTAAAAGTCTCCAGCTTGAACCGGATTACAAGTCGAAGTCCACCTTTAATTATCATATCAACAGCCAAATCAGTCTTTTATAGCCCTGCAGCCAACTTTGCAGCAGTAACCTTGGCGTCCAGGCCAGTAGTCCGAGGCCTAACTGCTCCCCAAGCACCAGCCAGAGCATGGCACACATAAACATCATAAAAGCCTGGAAATTTTGACTTCCAATCACTAACTAGTGTCTTCAATCCCCTCTTTCCAATACAGCTTCTTCTTTCAGATACTCAATTGATTTTGGTACGGGGAGATCGGTAACCTCAGCTCCCTCTAATTTTAGTTTTTCTTTTGTCTTAGCTAAAGTAACCATGTCTTTGAACATCATGTTAAGTTTCTCTTAATGAAATGTTGGTGGGCCTTAGCATTGTACGTACCAGATTGGTACTCGGTGAACTTTTCGTTCTCCTTGAACCTGTAGAGGCTGCAAAGCATTTGGGACCCGAGGCCAGTGAGATCTTTCGAGTCTTCACAAGGAGACTCATGGTCCATGTTTATGGTCCGCCAACCAATATCAATGATCAAAAATCTTGGAGGGAATCCATTCTCAGCGAAGCTGGACACGATACCATAAGCCAACAGGCTCCACTGTCAAATAAAAGGCATCCCATGAACACCAACCAAACTTATCAACGATGTTGGGTGGCCTTCTCTCTTCCAGGAACCTAAAAGTCACCAAGTACAAACGTACAGCAGCAAAGCCATCCCTCACGAGATCATAAGATTGTCTCCAACATGCAAACATGCACAAGAATTGAAAGTTTTGCCTTCCACTTTAGTAGAGCCACTCTCAATACACAAAATAACCTCGTCCATTTCAAGGATGAATAGCAGACCGAAAATTCCCTTGTATCTAGGGAAGGACCGCAACTTAGGAATTAAGTTCAGGGACTTACCAAATAGCTCAGTGATAGTAGTTTCTTGCAATAAGAGCTCACGGATTTAAATTCTAATACATTAGTTTTATTAAGAGTCTTGGTGTGTGAGTTAAAAAAAAGAAGTTCAGGGACTTGAAGAAGGATCATCTGAGTCTCCATTTGCAAATCAGACCCTTTGGAACCAATCCACATAGTAGAACCCATGTTTTGAATCAAAAAATACTCCAGAAGTTTCTATCAATAAGCTTTCCAATAGGATTCAAGATTCTATCAAGGGGTTCCTCTACAGATAAGCGCCGATAAGGCCCCGCTTTCAGATTTTGCAGTAACAGATTTTAGAATACAAGGAGGAATGGAATCAGGGTCGGACAAGTGAGGAAGTGAAAGGTAAAAGTGTTACATGGTCAGGGACATCAGAAAGAAGGGTAGCACCATCTAAACATGTCTCTTTCTTCGGACAGGGAAAATCTTGAAGGCAGTATGGGTTCTATGAGATTGTTAGTTGAAAGTGTTTGTGAGACTAGGTTTGGAGGAACCATGATTCAAAAGAACAGACTTTTGGTAAAGCAAAATCTTTCAAAGTGAAAGAGAAAGAGACTCCATGGGAACAAAGAACATTAAAAAAAATATATATCAGTGGAGAATACTAGGACAAGACTTAAAAAAAAAAAAGTGAAAGTATGAAAAAAACACTAATATTAAAGCATAATTCAAAAAAACACTAATATTAAAGCATAATTCACACTTAATTATGGTAGGTGTACTGCTCAAGCACATCCTTTTTCAGTATAGTTAATTAAACATTGATATTTCGATTTATAGGTCATTATGATCATAATCCTACCGTTACCATGTTAAAGCATAATAACTAGCTATAAAATATTTAACAAGGTTAGTGGGTCCTGCAAAAGCATCATGCCCGGAGATCCTCGGCAAATTTTGGGCCAATCCCACGATTAATGAAGCAAGTTAATAAGAGTATATTATCTATCTTGGGTTTGTAATAAAGAGTATATTCATACTCTAATTTACTTTTGCTTTATCTATTCACCGTTTTCATTGGCTTAGTTGGCCAAGGTTAGTTAAGTCGCTTTTAGGGCTCCACACGGTTAACACTTTACAGATGACAATGGTTGTCGGCTGGTCAGTAGGGAACTGTTCTTGTGGTTCAAAGTTTGATACTTCCTTGTTCTAAAGAGATGGCTTTGAAAAAAATACATAGTTTTTATTCATACTTTAAATTATTATTGGTTATCAAATTTAATCCTAAATTACATGAAATCAATATTAATTTAAGAAAAAAATCTGTTTAAAATTAAGGTGGCATCAAATGAAAAATCATCTAGTTAATATATATATAATGACATACTAATAGAAATGTTTTATTCTTAAAATTTTAGCATGCACTATAAAGTCCGTACAATATTTTAGGCCAAAAATTAAGGCAGCAAATTAAAACTTCTATCCCTCTTAATCCAAAATTTTTAGAAAGGTTTGGTTGAGACAACTTCTAATTTATCTCAAATGTGATCTTGATATTTTGCATGCCATGAATTTTTTTAGAAGAATGAATACTGAAAAATTTTATATTTAAAGTATTTGTATCTATAAGAAGAAAGTATGAAGAACATTAAACTTTTTTTTAGTGAAGAATAGAAAATGAAAGAGAAAAAATTAATTTTCTTTATCAATTAGAGATTTTTGGAAAAGTATATATTTAAAATTTCAACCAGAAAAGCAATTTAGAACAGATATATATATATATATATATATATGTAGGAAAAAAAAAACAATCTCTTTAATTAAGACAGAGAAAATACTAACTATTGATTTAGTCGTAACTCACCTACATTACAACAAATCTAATTAATTAATTTTTATGGTTACAAAATCAATATATTTTAATTCTAAGAGATTGATCTAGTGGTCAAATAAATTTACATGCTAGCATCTACAATAATTTATTTATCTAAAAAAATTATTTGTCTAAACGCATTCATACGATGTAAAGGATATGCACTCTTAAAATCATTTAAAAAGAAATTTAAATTTCGATTAACTTGTAAGTTGATCTGACGATTTGTTTCACTATGGACAAGGGCAAAACCAGCTATAGCAAGGCTAAGGGGGCCATGGCACTGTAAAGTTTGGCAAAATTTTCATTTTAATCCTAAGAATTTAAGTTTAGGATTATTTTAATAGAAAATATGTATTTTCTGTCTTTGAACTAAAGGTTTATTTTAATAGAAAATATGCATTTTTCTCTTCTAAAGAATTCCTTCCGTACTAAAAAGATGGTCTACATTTCTTATATATATATATATATATATATTCCAAAATATTTTGTCCTCCCAAAATTTTAAGTGATGTATTTTTAAAAAGTATCTCTGATTAAAGTTTATTTTGTAAAAAATTATACAAATACAATTCTTTTAAAATAATATTTTAAAAAAATATAAACAAATAATGGTGATATAACATAATAATTAATAACTTTCTTTATTTATATGAAAAGTCAAAAAGAACATTTTTTTTTTTGGGCATAATAAGTATTATTTTATAACGATTACATGTTTAATTATTTTTTTTTTTTTACAACTCTCTATATTTAAAATCCTAATTCCGTCTCTATACTTGGAATAAAAAACGAAAGGCAAAGTAACGATATATTTGGGTAGAATATGGGGATGGGATGCTTTCCATTTTTTCTGTTTAATTCGGAGTTTAAGTTTAAGCAACATACAACTATAGCAAAGACAATAATCTTCTCTAATTAAACTCTAATTTCTCCAAACCGTTCAAGAAAAAGTTATTAGTGAGCGACTTATGGCATCCCTTTTTTAACACGTGGTTCTAAAATCATGGCTATTTATTTTAAATTTGAAAAAAAAAAAATTCAATCTGTTACTCTCAAAAAAATATCACCTGGTTGCACCAAGTATCAAAGAATCAAGGATAGTAATTGATTAACAAATTAATTGTTCGTGATTATGTGTTTCTTGTCTATTTTCAATTTTCAATTCATGCAAGTTGTTGGATAGATTTATTGTCGGCATTGAGGGAGGGCGATTCATATAAAGGTGGATGCACTTGTAAGTAATCTCGAATCTTCGATGGGTCTCATTCACTTTGTCTATTAGGCAAAGGAACCATGATTTTTAAGACTAGCTAGTAGCGTCTTATGCTTTGTTTATTCATCTTCTGGAGGAATCCATTTTTGTTCTTAATCAGCACTCAACAGCATATATGGCATCCCATAATCCAGGCTAGTCAAATACCTGTGGCTGATGATGCAATGGAAGGTCATGTTGGACCCTTTGAATCACTCGGCAGATAAGATCTAAATGGGCCCACTTGAAGATTTTGGTTGGTATTTTGGCCCATCTGGAGAGCCCATTCCACTAATCACTCAAACCGCTAGTAATCAAGACTTGGCTGGTCATAGCAAGCACCGAACTGAGCACTCCATATCCCTGCTGATGCCACTTCTTTTTTCTTCTAGCCCAGGATTCTAAGAATGGGCTAGCAATGGCCGCAGCTATAACATTGAGCCCATAACCATTTATATCTCCACTCCACCTTCTTCTTTTTTTCTTTTCTTTTTTAATGAATTTTTAATCATTTGAAATTTTGAATAAAAAAGAAACAGACCATTACAAAAGCCATGAAGTCACCAAGGTGGCTACTTTGTATGTTGCCATGAAGTCACCCAGGTGGCTACGATTTACTAATAATATACTGGCAAGCAAGTCAACACCATTCACTATTCCTGGAAACCAAGGCCATCCATGATCCACAAACAACAAAGAAGATAGAATCCCGCATGCTATAGCAAAACCCACAAACATGATGTTCCCTTACTTTTGAATCTGCTTGTTATTTTGCTACTCAAATTGTCACCAAATAGGCCCCATCTCATGGGTTACCACCACCTTTCGTTGTTCCAAGGATTGCCGAGACCTATAACTAGAGAGGTTGCTAGCTTTTGTTTATAGGCAGAGTTTTATTCGGTCGATGTTTAATATATTCGAACATATCTATTATAGTTATATGTTATTATAAAAAAATTCAACAACATTTCATAAAAATGACAGTGATAAAGTCTGTTATTATTATATAATACAAACAACGGCCGTTGTGTATTACAAAAAATTACTTATTTGCAGAACATGCTATTGAAATATCAAATTATCACTGCTCACAACTTTTTCAACCTTTGAAATTTTGATGTATTATAGAAACTTTAATTCGTGAAATCAAATAATTACTATATATATATATACACAACAGGAACACAAATTTGTGTTGCCCAATCAAGAACGGACTATTTACCGGGTCAATTTGGCAAGTTGTTGTCATGAATGGAATGCTGACGAGCAAGTGGCGCATTCATAGAACTTGAAGCTACTGCAAGTGCAAAAGGTAGCTGACATATTGATCAAGTTCAGCTACCGATCGTGCAAGTTAAATCAACCATGAAAATTATTTAGTTTTAGATGTGAAGTAGGCCATTGTCCACTTGGGTACCACGTTGCTTTGTTGGACTGGAAGTAAAGAGCCTCTTCTGCTAAATTTATGTCAATATGTGCTTATAGGGATATCGTTCACAGGAAAGAACGACGTCTTCTATCCCTGAATAAATCCTCTAACAACTAAGAAGCAGTTCATGTTGGAAATTTAATAAAGACGAAACTAGCTTGATGTGTACTGCAACCAAAAAAAAAGAACACCCAATGTCTACAATTTTGGAAAAGTATAGATCACTTTCACCGTCATGTTGCCTTGCCAGCATATTGGCCCGGGTGTTATGACAAGACAAACAATAACAACAAAAAGCAATATTGTAGCAGTGGAATTGGAGGTGTGGCTTTCATTTCTCTTCTGGCAAGATGGTGGACGTCTTCATCTTCAAATGTGACCATAAAACTGTCAACTACCGAAATGTTTTGCACAGCTAAAATATTGTCAACTACCTAAAGAGAGATGTGGCAACTTATGATTATCAACTCTCTCTCTCTCTCTCTCTCTCTCAATTTTGTTATTTGAACACTAATCAACAATTGTCAAAAAAGATTTGGTACATTTTCAAAGTTGCTTTAACCTTGAAAAAACTTGTCCCTCAATCTGAGTTTAGAAAATCAATATGGTTGAAGATATCACAAATTCTAGTAGGGAAATTGCTTTACAAAAACTTTCGTCATCTGAGGTTGACAAGGATTTCCCACAATTTGGTAGGAGAAGCAGAGGAGGACAAAATTCACGCATCTTGGTGAGGGGCGAGACTAATGTCCAATAATCTTGCCCACAGACTTTTTCTTTATTAATCTGCTCTATCCGACTTGAATACAGATATAATATTCATCTTCTCAAGTTCAAATTTATACTTCATTGGATTATTAAAAAAAAAATCTATTATTCATTGTATCTATACTATACTTTATACATATATTTTTAATGTGAGCCATTGTACCAAGTTTTGACTATTCAAACTACACTTTTTCAGCCATTTATTAGGTATTTACATCATTCACCTAAAAAACCAGCAGAAGAAAAAGAAAGAAAGAAAAAAAAACGCTACCAAAATCAAACGAAGCAGCAAAAATGTCCAAAGCCAAAAGTGAAACTGAACCCTTTTTAGACATAGACCCATCCTCCCACAGACACTTTCTTTTGACATACATACATTACATTACATGCATGCATGCACACATACATACAAACAAACGACATTGATAACGACACCCAGCAAAACCATCCCCCACGCCATTTCTCCCTTCTCTTCCCCAACAAAGGAATGACCTTTTCTCTGCTACTCTACAACCCAGCACACCTTTATTCTATCACCATCACCACCAATAAATTTAGATCATTATATCAAACACCCATATTGGAAAACATCGATAAAGATTAAGTAAGAGGAAGAGGATATTGGTCTGGTTTGGGGGTTAGTGTGATTGAGAGATGTGGGATGCTTCAGGCATTGATGAATCTGCTTTCTTTATGTTTTAGGCCATTTGGGCAAGGTAGCAGTAGTAACAGTGATACAAAATTTGAGTCTTTTGTTGGTGTTAGCAAAGAAGGGAAAGATGGACTTCTTTGGTATAGAGATATTGGAAAATACGGGTCCGGTGAATTTTCAATGGCTGTTGTTCAAGCTAATCAAGTACTTGAAGACCAAAGCCAGATTGAGTCTGGACCTCTTGGAACTTTTGTAGGTGTTTATGATGGTCATGGTGGACCTGAAGCTGCACGTTTTGTCTGTGATCACTTGTTCAGGCACTTTCAAGGTCTGTTCTTTTCAAATATGTTTTGATCAATCCTTTTGATATCTATAAAAGATTTTTCCTTAAAAGAACATAACTTTGTTGGGTTCTTTTTGTGGTCTCGAATTAGCCACGTATTTAATTAGCCTTTGTGGGATTTTCAATCAGTTTGCTTTTTCTTTTTGGAGATTGTGAAAGGCTCCGTGCTTTTTTTTTTCTTTTTTTTTCTTTTTTGGCCTGAGTTTAGATGATAAACTATTTTGTATGGTTGAATTGGATCCCAGAAAGCAACTTTCTTATTTCAAAGTATAAATTAATGGAATTTTTTTATTGGGATTTGAAAGACGGAATTTTGCATGTGAATGTCATGGATTGGGAGGTATTAGTACTTACTGGTAGCTTTCTTGCTTTGAATTACTGAAAGTGATGCAATTTTTGGAGTTGTTCACGTTTGTAGTTATCTTTATCTTGTCAATTTCATGGATAACTGTTAGTAGTGATATTCAATCGGATCTTGCTTTTTTGTGTAAGGTTTTGATTGGCTTTTACAAGTTTGGAATATTTTGTACTTTAAATTGCAGTTTAAACTTGGATCAGGGTGATTAAGTGTAAGTTTTATGATTAGTGTTTAGTAGCCAACTGCCTAGTTCCTTGCTACTGATAACCAAAACCAAAGGTCCTGCAACTTTTTCAGATTGAAAGCTAAGTTAGTGCTCCTAAAATGTGTGCTGGACAAATGTATTAGCTCTATCTAGAAACTAGATTTTGCTCTAGGGTGATGGACTTTAAATTCCAGTGAAAAACAGGGCATATATCTTCTATATTTTTTTTATCATTTTTTTCCTCAAATATTCTGATCTTTTTTTGGTTTGATGTCGTTTAGCTTTAAAAAAGGATTGTGCCTTATGTTGGCATTCTTAGGCTTTGTGGTTATGCAGCAATTTCAGCAGAGACACAGGGTGTTGTGACAAGTGAGACCATCCAAAGAGCTTTCTGCGCAACAGAGGAAGGGTTGACTAATCTCGTGTCCGAGTTATGGAGCACTCGTCCCCGAATGGCAACAGTTGGGTCATGCTGTCTAGTTGGAGTGATATGTCAGCAGACCCTCTTTGTTGCAAATCTGGGTGATTCCCGTGTTGTGCTGGGCAAGAAAGTCGGCAACACTGGAGTTATTGCTGCAATACAATTATCAACTGAACATAATGCAAACCTGGAGGCAATCAGGCACGAACTCAAGGACTTACATCCAAATGATCCCCAGATTGTTGTCCTTAAGCATGGAGTTTGGAGAGTGAAGGGGATTATTCAGGTTATTTCAAACCCCAATTTAACCTTCAGAATATTTCAAATTAAAACACATCTTAGGTGCTTTTGTATTCTTGAGGTTTTTTGTACTTTTGGGGTGATAAATTATGAAACTACTTTGGTATTCATAGTGGTAGTCTTGACTGCTTTCTGGAATTCATCAATTTTGTTGTAATTGTTAATGCAATACCAATTTACCTGTTGCTTTCTGGTTTAGGATATATAAAATTATTTTTAAAACAATTTTTTGAAGTTATAGAATTGTGTCTAAGATTTACAAGGTGCAAGAACCACAAACTGGAGATGAGAAAGAACAACATATAAACCAATACCAAACCCCTGCATGATTCACATGCTCTGACGAAACCAGGTCTTTGCAGATTTGTCTTCGAATATAATTGAGATGATTTTTATAGTCATTGGTCAGAGCATGGGTTCTTTTATAGTGGTAAATTAGTTGATTGAAAGTATTGTTCCTTGTTCCAGGTAACTTGAAATTTCAGTGTCCCAGTGGTATTCCTTTTTGTGCTAATGGATAAAAAATGCACCACGTATCGAGCTAGATGCTTTGTTATTTATGTTGTTGATACACTCAAGGAAATAAGCATGTTGATTATGAAAGAGAATTTGAATATTCTTCATCCAGTCTTTGTGTTGATGGAGATTACTTTGAAGTCAAATGAGTTATGGAAATTCCTTGGAGTATGTCATGGTTTGCATTGCATTATCTGCATCTAGCTTATTAATATTCATGGCATGTTCCTTTACAAATTCTATTATCAAATCATGAAATCCATGATTGTATTTGATGCAGGTCTCTAGATCCATAGGAGATGTATATATGAAACATGCACGATTCAACAGGGAACCAATTAATACAAAGTTCAGACTTCCTGAACCAATGGACATGCCGTTCTTGAGTGCCGATCCAACTATCTTTTCACATCCTCTCCATCCAAATGATTCGTTCCTTATATTTGCATCTGATGGTCTTTGGGAACACTTGAGTAATGAAAAAGTCGTGGATATTGTCCACAGTAATCCACGTGCAGTAAGAGTTTGTCCTTATTTTTTTGGTTGTCATGCTTTCTGCATTGAAATTACTATCATGCTTTTGTGCTTCTATTTGAATAGGTAACAAATGAACATAAATTTTAAACCTTTTCTTTTTTCTTTTTCTTTTTTTTTTTTTTTTTTTTGGAATCCATATGCTGCTTGGTGTTAGCCTTGTTACTAAAACTTGTTGACTCTGTCAGGGCATACAAAACCCGAAGGTCCTGTTTTCTTAGATATATATTGTAAAGCAAAATCTCTTGGAAGAGTTTGGAATGCAAACCTATGGAAGCATGATAGTACATCTTTTTTGTAGATACGTTTGTCATAGATCCTCCATGAATTTGTTAGCATGATCTTTTTTGAGTGTTGACGTAGAAGAAAACTGCAAAGTAGCTTCATTGATGAGTTATTATGCTTCTTATTTGGATTATTCATCAATAACCTATTTTTTCTTGTTCGTTGCGTGGATTATGCAATTGATATCCAAGGTGATCCATGGTCAGTTCATTGTCATGTATAATTAGGCATAGCATTGGAGCTAAATGTGTTTGATAAAGTCTTTGTTAGTTTGCGGATCAATGTGCTGGGATATATGCCCAGGAACCTTTTAACGAGATTAAATATTGTTGGTTTATATCATCATAGCGTGCTTGAAACTGACTTTTTAGATTGACTTCCTCTCCACATTCATGTAGTGCCTTGAATTCTTCGTGCATATTTTGGTGTTTTGGATGGCTATTATTGACAACAAAAATGGACGGCATGCCAATTCTACCTCCCATAGGACGTGCATTGCTGAGATATAAATTTATGCACGGAAATGTAGATCATAAACTATTGTGAAAAAAATATGTAGTTGTTTCATAGCGGATGCTTTTTCTAGAATTGTATTTCTAAACCAACTTATGAACACTGTCAACCAAAGTTACTGGAACGCTCCTCCCTTGGTAAACTTAAATTATCTTGTAGTTTTTTTTATTTATGCCCTTGAGAACTATTAGCCTCGTTGCTGCCTGCTGCTACAATGTTCTTGTGATTGACTACACAAGTGTAACTCTTGGTTCATTCTTCACTCCCTTTTCTTCATATGTTCATTTTTTGACTTAAAAAGGATACATTTAAGGGGTTCTTGGCTGTGTTCTTAAATTTATGCAGGCATGTTTAGTTCTTGTCGTCATTTTATCTGTGTTTTGACTTGTATTCATGAGCTTGTTTTAATGCAGGGAAGTGCCAAAAGGCTTGTCAAGGCTGCCTTAAAAGAAGCAGCAAGAAAAAGAGAGATGAGATATTCAGATCTACAGAAGATTGACAAGAAGGTTCGACGGCACTTCCATGATGATATAACTGTAATTGTTTTATTCTTAAACCATGATCTTATATCCAAAGGCGCTGTGCAAACCCCACCAGTTTCCATCCGAAGTGCTCTGGAGCACTGATTAATTACCACCCTTTGGCATATTTCTGCTGCCTTATTACGGACAACTCCAAGAACATCTTAGCAGTAGCAGATCAAGACATATATCATTAGGTCTGGCTATAGAGCTGCGCTGACAAAGCGGTTGCAGTGCCTGGATGCTAATGCCCAGACCTTGCTTTTTTTAGAGATTTAGGATTGGTAAAATGTTGATCGTCAGGAGACAAAAAAAAAAAGAACATTGATCGCTGCTAGGTCCATGTATACCCAGATTATAATTCTACTTGAAGTCATTTTGCATTCTGCATTTCTTTTTTTCCTTTTTTTTATCAGTTACCTATTTGTATAACAAAGAAATATGTGCAATTCAACATGTGATGCAATTTTAGGAAATATTGTAATTTTTAAATTTCAAGAGGACATCAAATTAATGTGTTGATGCTGTAGATTTTTTTACCATCCCAACCAATGATTTTGTATATTAACTAATATTAAAGATATTGCAGGTATGTTATTCACAACTTCCAACTTTACTCAAGCTTATATATATTCCTGCAGAGTGAAGAATTTTGGCTCGCATCTTCTGACAGAACCGCGTAAGCACTTGCGAGGACGTTGTAGAACTGCATTATTCGATTTTTATTTTTATTTTTTTGAATTTATTTTGCAAACCTTCTATTGTTTCAACATTACAAATCATAAATCTAACTTTTTAATCATTTGCAAGTCGAATCAAAACTGTGATGGTCAAAGACAGTTTGGATAGATTTTGAAAAGATAAATTTATCTTTTCTAATGGATTACGTTGGTACCGATTTTATAGGCAACAAAAAATGGCTTTCAACTTTTGTATTTTTTATCTTGCAAATGATTAAAAAGTTGGGACACCTTAAAACATGCATATCATGTTTACATTTGAATCAGACATATCATCAAATGCCATTTCTGCTGCTATCTTTAACGATTTAAGCTCTTCTTCAAGATGCCATAATTCTGATGTCTTTGCAGTCCTCCGAGAGCACTTTTTCTTAGATTCCTTAATTCTTCTTTCTCATATATTGCTGGTAAAAGAAAAAACAAAAAAAAGCATCAAACTTTTTTCTGACACGGGTCCTTGGCCGAATATTTCCTGGGCAATATGTCCGAAATATTTAACCCTTATCTTTATTTATTTATTGTTTTATTTGCTAGTTTTGCAGCATTCGGGATTGGACAATTATTTATTTTGGGTTAATTTGTTGTATGGACTTGAACCAAATTAATTAGTCATCCTGGGTTTTGGATGCTTTAGTTATTTGGGTATTGCTGAATAGGCCTAGGTTATTTAGGTGATGGATATTTGTTTGTTGTGGATCTTTATTTATTTAGGAGCCTTTGTTTTGTAGAGTCATAATTATTTTAGAAGTCCATGTGTTATGTGAGTTCATATTTAATATAAACTAATTTAAAAAGTTTTAGTTGAATGTGGATTGCATAAAAAATCCTTATTATTTCTTTTGTCGAGTTCGACCTAGGTTAGTTTTTGTAGTCTAATTGAATAAGTTTTTCTAAACCTAAAAGAACTCCTTAGTCTATTATTTAAGCAAATTCTTTTTGCTTTTGTAAGCGTCTTTATTGAATTTTGATAATAATAAACTCGTTAAGATTTTTTTTTCTTTTTCGATTCCACAATCTCAAACAAAATACTCTTAGTACCGAGGATTATGGAGCTGAATTTGAGCAACTTGTGTTGAGTTGTGATGATATCAACGAATCCGATGAGTATGCCATTGAAATATTTCTAGGAAGGTTAGAGCTAAACATAGCTAGTGTTGTTCAACTACACCAATACTAAACCTTAGAAGATATCATCAAGTTAGTTGTAAATGTTGAAAGGTAATAATGGACTACGAGATGGAGTGATAGAGTTTTGATTGGAAAGAAAAAGGATGTTAATAAAGGTGGTTCAACCAAGATAGCAACACCAAACCCTAAAATAGTTTGGCTTAGAGGAGAGAGTTCTTCAAGTGGTATCGATAAACCTACTACTACGAGACCTAATACCAATCTTAAAAAGTGCTTTAAATGTTTGAGTGTAGGGCATATTCTTCAAAGTACCAAACCCACGGCTTATCTTAATAATAGAAAAAGTCAAATTAGAGGAAGAAATAAAAATAAAACCCATTAAAACGAATGACGAGTAAAGAAGAAGTCTAAGTTATGGAAGATAAGAGAGAGACTTATGTTGATATTGACAAGGTACCGATGATGCATAAGATTGAGAAATAAAGATGATTTAGGGGTTCGTTGCTACTATGATTAAAGGATATATATATATATATATATATATATAAAAGGTTGTTATAAGGACTCGAAAAGAAAAACATTAGGGTTGTTGTCGTAGTTAAAAAGGCTAGACTAGCAATTATTGAGAGAGAAATAGTTGATTTGATTCATGTCGAAAGGTTTAAAGTTCTCGTTAGAATTATCGAAGGAAAAATAATGGCAACCCCTTCGAAAACTCAATAAATGAGAAACCATAAAATGAAGTCACTAAATTTCGAAAGCAAGCAACTCACGAAGAAAGAAGACTTGGTATGGTAAACATAAAAAAGAAGAAATATTTTAAGAGAAGGTTTGGCAAGCTTAAAGAAGTGGAAGGTCCATTTTGTCTTGTGAAGAGAATAGGAGAACGTACATACAAGATTGACCTACCTATATATTACTTAGTTTTGGCCACCTTAAAAAAGGTAGATCTTTTTTCTTACCATGACGAAGAAGATAAAGATAGAGATGTCAAGATAGATTTTTTCTTCAATCCATAAAGCATGATACAAGTATTCTTACCATGGCGAGAGAAGATGATGATCAAGATGTCGAGGTAGAGTTTCTTCAATCCGGAAAGCATGATACAAAAATATCTTCACTTTTTTAGCTAGATATTTCTTAGCCAACATGGTCGAAATATTCAGCCTTTATATTTATTTATTTATTACTTTATATTGTTAGTTTTGCCTTATTTTAGGTTGGATAATTACTTATTTTGGATTTTTTTTTTTGTATATACTTAGGTTAAATTAATTAGTCCTCATGTGCTTTAAATTCCTTATTTATTTGGATATGGTTGAATAGGCTTAAGCTATTTGTACGGGATATATAACTCTGTCTTAAAAGTATTTTCAAGATGAGATATTGACACTTTTTTTATATGGTGGTTTAGGCCTTTATACAAACAATCATGGATACAACTTGCATGCTAGAAAGTGCATGAACATCCTTTCCATTTGGCGTTAGTAGGTGAGCTGACGGTATTAGTATTTTATAATTGGTAGCATGTTGTAACACCACAAAATTAATTATCTAAACTCGACTACTATATCTAATAGTAAGTTTAGGTCAATCCCATAAAGATAAATTTGAATGTTTTATGATCTTATTTATGTTCAATCTAGATGACTAAACAAAAGAAATGGGGGTTTACAATTTAATATGTTTGCAGTAGAAAAATAGTATTGAAATTTAACAAATTAATGAATTCAAAAGCATCCAATCTAAGAGTAAACTTTACCTTCGAATTGCAAGTTGATCATTGATGATACTTAAATATTCTATTAATGATTTAGCATTTGGTCTATATTAACCTAAAAGGCATATATTAACTATATTCTAGTTACTTAATCATCAAATACAAAAAAATATGAAATTTGAATCCTTACTATCGAACTACGTAGGACAAAATCTCTACATATAATTCAACGATAGCATTAACGAATAAAGAACAATCAAAATAGACAATCAACATATAAACTCTGTTGGTTTAATCCGCACTCTTTTCTCCTAGACTTGTAATGATATAAATATTAGAAATCATTAAACTCTATTGCTATTTATGAATAGATTTTATAACCAAGTACATATTATAAACTTAATCTAGCAATTATTTATTGATCATAATTATCTAACGAGTGCTCCAAAGTAATTAAGAACAAGAATGTAACTCAATTAATTTGGAAGAATAAAAGTACTAAAGATGAATAGATTATAAAATCAAATCTAAAAGTCTCATAGCTTGTTCTTCAAAGTCAAGTTTCTCTTGAACCAAGAAAGAAAGATTTAGTCTTGCATCTTCAAGAAAAACATAAAAAATAAAGTAATTTTTTTGTTAATCAAAAGTATTGTGAATGTGTAGTCATGGAAGTTATTTATACATACATAGAGATATAAATATGATAACCCGTAAATTCTAATTTAAGATTGTGTTTGAAATTAATTAGGACTTGTAGTTGAATAGGACTTTAAGTTTTATACTATATCTCTTAGACTCATTTTGGATCATATGGTAGTCAATTTTGGTCTTCGGATCTCATAAAAGTTGTAAGGCTCGGATGTTTTATTTACGTAGACTTTTGAATCACCTTAATCTAATGTGTATAACTTCAAATATGGTCCAAACACTAAGCAATGCTTCGAATTGTCATACAATCTAAATTTATAACCTAACTTTGCAACCAACTTTGACAAACATAATAGACTTTTGAATCACCTTAATCTAATATATATAACTCTAGATATGGTTCAAACACTAGGCAATGCTTCAAATTGTCATACGATCTAAATTTCTAACCTAACTTTGCAACCAAATTTGACAAACATAATAGATTTGTGCATTTAAAATCAGCATATAAAGATTAATATGTCTAATTTAATTCTTAAAAGACTCCTTTTATGCTCTAGAACTCTAAGAATCCGAAAATCCTACATCTTATTTTGAAAGATCAATCTACTCGTAGTGAAATTCCACCCATATCAATACACTTTCTTCTCCTAAATAATAAAATAAACTTAAAAGCATACTAAAAAAAACTAAATATAAGAGAATAATTATAATTAGTTATGCTCATTATCAGCAATCATTGTATTTGATATACGATGGTGTTAATGCTTTACATGATGAGTGATAATTTGATTGATGTCATTATTAAAAAAATTTCAATAAATATTTTATCACTTCTAATTTTAGTATAGGTGTTTGGTGTCTTTCTT